AGCAGACTCAACACACTGGAAGATAATGTGAGCCACAGAAGCACTATACTATAAGTTATGGATGCAGATGAATTTGGGTTTAAGAAGAACAATACCAATAATGATTGCAATATTATTTAAATCTTTAGCAATAACACAAAGGTCCATTATACATCAATATGCTTACGCATTGTGAGTGACGACTGATCAGCCTCACACTTGTGAAGTGTTTTGTTGTTTATCAAGAATTTGACATTCTCTGATCATAAAGAAGAGTTTAAAACCAAAACCCTCACTACCAAGCAAAAATCTGTCTTTTACACTTAAATAATAATATGACATTTATGGTGATAATTAGCAATATTTATGACGTGAATTCTTTTTATCTTTATACATTTTTTGGCTGGATCGTCCAGCTTAACTACATAAGTGCCCATGATGATAGCTTGGTTCAGAAAGTGCAATACACAACTTTAAACCAGTGTTTTCACTACATATTTGACACTCTGTCGATTCGGTGGTTAAACCCTCCGCTCCTCCAGACCATTGCACGTGTCCACAAGTGTCACTGGGTAAGACACAGAACCCCAAATACCCCTCCGACAGCTGTGACATTTGATGGAGGAAAGTGCTGCACATAGATGCACCATTTTAAATGGATACTTCACTCAAAAATGAAAGTTCTTGCCGCATTCACATTTACACTGTTTACCCCTGAAACTCGCCCCTCCATCAGCATAGTTGTGAGTAGATAACGAGTGAATTTTTATTTCTAAGGGACAGTACACCCCCAAAAAAACCGCTGTCATTTACACCACACTTTTAGGCTCAATGTCCTCTGGAGCTGCGTTCAAGTTCACATGCACACAAGCTACATTTTAAGAATCTGGCACCATTTACTTTGGATTTGGCTGCAACGTCATTTACCCCTGAAAGTGTTTTGTGGACTCAGCTTCACCCAACACCTCCATCTGAAGTTTTTGGGCGAACTATCTCTTTAAGGTGCATGTAAAGGGAAAAACTGCACAGTGGTCATCAAGACAAGAAATCTATTGTATTAAAACGCAAATTGCAAAACACATTGAAACTGGGCAGCGGTGCGTTATGTTTCGTGTAGGGGCCTGTGTGAAGAGACGCTGGTGGAATTACTCGGTCACACTGCACGTACAATAACAGCACGTGCCCTGATGGTAGTAATCGCCTACAGGATGCTGGTTGTCGGACACAGGATGTTCCGAGTGGGAAATAAACGTGTATTTCTCGAACTCCAACACAACCACTGGTGCAAAACGTGACACAACAAGGAAAAAAACACAAGTAGCCAGAAGATTTCACAATCACAGTGGAACGCCTCTCACACTGTGGCAGCTGTCACACACACACAGACACACASACACACACTCACACAGACACACACACACACTCTCTCCATGACGAATACACACATTCATGCAACACATACGTTAAAAAAAATACACCTTACGTTCAAAATCTCACTGTGAATCGTGTGGGTTTTACAAACGTAGCGGCAGGTGTGCGCAGCTTTTCGTGGCTGTGAGAAGAATGGAGGAAGAATTTAAATCTACGCGAACAGCTTCGGCATGAGTTGCGATTCTATACGTTAACAGCGGCGGTGTTCAGAAAGCCGAACGTGTTGAGTCCGCGGACAGGGAGTAACGCTGGTTGGAGAATAGCAACCGAACCGCGGGCATCAACGGTGGAGAAGTGCTAGCAGCTAAGAGCAAGCTAATGGAAATAACCGTGAATATTCATCAAAATGTGTAAAATAAACGCTGGAGATGTGTCGTTGTGTCTCAGGCAGACGTGTTTAACGTTCCCCCTGGAGCCGCACCCATGTACGGAGCCTGTGTGGAGAGCCAGGCTCGATGCTAGCCCCCTCCCCCCCCTCTCCTGTAAGCCGTGAATGCGAGACTCTCCCTCGGCCGGATCGGGCCGCTTTTCCCCCCTGGTTTCCCCGGTTCCCCGACCCGCCACTCACCCGATACTGGGTTCGACCGAGAGCTGCTTCCGTGTAGTTGCTGATCCGGCGGTTGTCAGTCGGACAGGGGACCGGGCAGCGGAGGATGGGAGCGGATTCTCGCGGCGTTCATACCCCCAGCTCCTGGCTCTGTCGTCGGCTGCGCTCCCTGTTGATAGTCCCCGAGAAGATGCAGCGGCGCGGGCGGCCCTTCTCCGCTCGAGCCTGTCTCCTCCTCCCGTTACTTAACAGCGGCTGATGATGTCACCGTCCGCATGACAGGGCACAGGCAGCAACACGTCACCGCGCCTTGAAACATCGCGTACATATTTTTATTATTAGTAGTATTATAAGTATTACTGTTAGTATTAGTAGTAGTATTATAAGTATTACTGTTAGTATTAGTAGTAGTATTATAAGTATTACTGTTAGTATTAGTAGTAGTATTATAAGTATTACTGTTAGTATTAGTAGTAGTATTATAAGTATTACTGTTAGTTATTAGTAGTAGTATTATAAGTATTACTGTTAGTATTAGTAGTAGTATTGTTTTATTAATATTATTGTTGTTAGTATTATTGGTGGTGGTGGTAGCAGCAGTGTTGTTAGTATTATTATTGTTAGTAGTATTATTTTTGTTGTTAGTATTATCATTATTATTGTTCAGTTTTTAAATTGTGCTCACACTGTACATGTTTTGTATTATTATGTTATTATTATTATTGTTAGTCTTATTATTATTGTCGTTCATTTGTTAAACAGATCTCACACTGTGCATATTTTTATGATTGTTATATTGTTAGCATTACTATGATGGTGATTATTATTAGCAGTAGTAGTATGATTATTGTTAGTATTATGATTATTATTAGTAGTAGTAGTATGATTATTGTTAGTATTATGATTATTATTGGTAAATTGTTCTCACACTGTACATATTCTCACCCGTTCGGTAGTTTTTGTGTAATCGTGTGTACAAACCTTGGCGGTGGTAATTATAAGAAAAATACATGAGCTCCCTTTTACATTACTGTCTGTTATTATTGAATTTATTATGATTATGGTATTATCACTATTGATAATATCTATGTTCTGAAATAGCTGAAATCAAACTTCTATGAGGACTATATATTTTTGAGAACGGTGCCATCAGTGTCAGGGCTTTTATCTCTGGACATGAGTGGTTTATAAGAATGTTCTGTTCACGTCCACTTCACACAATGACAGCTCGCAGTTGCATCGGAGAAGGCGAGTCATTTCATACACCGAGCAGTGGCTTACTGCAGGATGACGTGCACGTTAAATAGGATTGGTGTGTGGATGGTAATGAGAGGGTGACAGATGGACACACTGGCTTGTTCCACCCTGGCCCAGTCTATGAGCTGCCATTCCACCTTAATGTCAGGCTTAGGTTTCACATTTGCATTAAAGCAGATTGTCACATCAACAGAGGAACGGATAAGAGGCAGTTTGACTGGTTCAGAGTGCTGGTTACTCAACCTGAACAACTTGCGGGTCACTTTTAACCAAACTCCAGAAACCTGAATCACAGAAATTATCACAAGGACAAATGTAGAAGCCAATACTTTCATCTTTATTAATCTTGTTCTCATTTGTTTAAATAAATTTTTCCTTTGTAAAATCTCAAAACGAAAACACTGAACAGGAGTGTTAAAGCCTGTCTTAATTTAAAACGAATACACAACAACAGAATATTAAAAACGTACGGTAACTCTTACTCTGCATCTGTAAACAACCCGTCCCACCCTTCCCTCCCGCTCCACACAGTTGATAAGATTTGGCATGTCCGTTTTCTCAACTCTTATGCCTTCAGCTCTTTGTGTCATTAAAATGTTCTTTTTTTTTTTTTAATTATTGCAGGTCGGACAATAAAAAAGACAAGTCTGCTAAAAAAACAAACAACTTCAAATGAGAAAAAAAGCATTAGTGCCAATATTTCTTAACACAGTCAGCAGTATACCGATAGCACTCAAAAACATTTTTGTATAGACCTTCTGTATAGTAAGCAGCCTTGCCCACATTACGACAGGCATTAACATGCACACACACATTTTTCTCACATTCACACGCACGCACACGCACACACACACACACACAAACTGCGGTGGTGTAATCCACTTACTTGGTCTCAGTCTCACTCATACACATGTCAATATCGTGTGTATGATACTGCGCGCAGCATCGACACGTGGAGAAATGCAACATAGCCGCAAACTGCCAGCAATTTAACATTTATCACTGCAACAGTAACAAACATGTTCAAGAGAGTATAACAGAGAAAGAGTGCGTGAGATACAACAGTAGGAGGTCAGCATTTTGAAAACAGAACAATGACATTTTTCAATATTTTCACTGTTCAAAAATTAAAACCATACATACAAACAAACAGAAAAAAACAAACTTAACATACACAGTAAGATACAGTTCTGCTGTCAGTCAGAGCTGTTTGCATGTGTTTGGATTCCGTCTCCGTCTTTAAGGGAACACGAATACAAACTGCACTTTAACCTCACATCATGTAGTAGTTTTAAGTTCTCTTATACGATGAAGGTAATGCTGTGTACAGTGCCCAACTGTCTGAAGGCTTGTCTGTATTTGGTGTGTGCATGTGTATGTAAATCTGTTGAAAAGTCCCCTATTTACTAAGCACATTGCAATCCAGTCAAGTCTTTCAGACCAACTGACTTTTCATTCTTTTTCAGGTTTCAAGTCTAAGCAGTTGAAATCTTCATCTGTGGAAAAAGGCTGTATACACATCTAACAGTCCCTGCATTTGTTTATATAATAGCTTAAGTCTGGCCACAAGAATGTGTGTAAGCATGTCTCACATTTCTGCTTTATGTGTGTGCACGTCAATATGCATACTGAGTATATGTATGCACATGTGGTATATGTGTAGTACATTAATTAATATGCATACCATGTAAATGTGTTTGTGTGTGTGCTATAGTAAGTACATATGTAACCCAGTGTATGTTGTATCAGTGTGTCCAAACCTACACATACAAATGGAGGGGCCTCATTAGATGGAGTCAGCTCCTCCCCCCAGCAGGTCGCCAGGCAACAATGCAGCAGGGCTGTCCATTTGGTGCCTTTCCTCCATTTGCGGTGCCCCCCACAGGCTGCTGCTGGGGTATCCGGCAGTCATGCCACCCCAGAGCCCAGACCTCCCTCCCTCAACTCCCCCGACACCTCCTCCCTCCCCTGACCCGTTCGTGCTCCATTGGGAAAATATCCCTAGCCCGGGTCCTTGGGCTGAAGAGGTGTCTGAAGAACTGCCAGTACCATCGAGACTTTGCCAGCCAGACCCGGAGGACCTCACACTACCTAGACCCGCTGTTCCACTTTCCCCTCCTCCTCCATTTCCATTTCCACCTGAAGTTGTACCCGCTGATGCCCGCTCACTCCCTGGGGAGCTACCACCACTGTTGGCCACAGAGGTGCCTGTACCAGATGAGCCCTGCATTCCACTGACCGCGGCCCCTCCTGAGCTGGCCCCCTCTGTCCCTCCGGCCTGGGAATGTGCAAAATAGCGAGCATCCTCCTCACTCACAAACTCCGCCAGGATTGTGGTGTTACCCAAAACACACCTGAAAGGGAGTCACAAGACAGGGCTTGTTAGATCAACAGGAGCATGATCAATTTTGAGCATGCGCGTATTAGTGAGCTTACAGGTTAACCTACATGTGCAGTGCACCCTGGGCCTTGGCTGCTTCCTGCCGGCTGCTGTAGCGAATCAGAGCACTGCCCTGGGTCAGGCCAAGATGGAAGGTCAGTAGGGGACCGTGCTGCATGCAGATAGTCCTTAGTGTGGAGCCATCAATCTACAGGGAACAGAGAATGAAGGTTACATGTAAAAGATTGAGTGTTTGCAAGTTGTAATGTAGCATTGCTAGAGTTATCGTCCACAATCTTGAGTCATCAATTATAGTGGCAGTGAAAGGTCAGGGCATCTAGGGGATTACACAACCACAGCGACTGTATGTGTATGAAGCATCCAGACTTAATGTGGTGAGACTGTATGTACACTGTGGCTTTATTCTTTCCGAGTCTGCCACAGTTACTCTTAAGATAGACTTGTGCACAAGAGCACTGACTGAGGCCAATAGGTTATAATAAAAAAATCTATACGATTAAAAAAAAAAAATTTGTGCTTTGACTTATAATTAAACATTTTCATTTCTATGCTTCACGCAGAGCAGTGTCACGCCAGTGTCATTTGTGCAGACTCTAATTGATTAAATGGCTCATCCAACTTCTCAATCCAATTACAGATGGGTCACGCATCATTCTGTCTAATTTACATAAGACAGACTGAAGGGGAATACAGATGAATGAGCAGACGTTTAATGCTTCAGAATTTAAACCCTGACCAGTCTGTCTGGGCAGGTGTTTTACTTTATGGCCATGATAAACTCTCATAAACTGATAAACTGAACTCTACGTTGCTTGCACAGCATACTCACCCTTCTACATTATTTCAGTGTTTACTGGTGGTGAAAATGTAACTGTCTAAATTCAGTGTTGTTACAAACTCCATGAAAACTCTGTTTAGTTTCTTCTCAGGTTTTTCTCTCAACCTGTCTCTGTTTTTTCACATCCTTACCTGCGGGGTCAGGTTGCTCAGCAACAACCAGCAGCTGCCTCTGGAGGCCACGCCATCGCTCCAAGCTGAGCCTTTAATGAAAAAAGACAAGGAAGGAGACAAACCGAAAAGAGGACAAGGATCAAACAATTAGAGGGGATGTCTAAGTTGACAAACAGAGATCACAGTAAAGATAACATATCTACATGAGGAGGTTGTATATGCTAGGATTCATGATACTGTATGTCACTGTTAAGAAGATCTTTCTCTACACACAGCATATAGTTAAGAAGCAATCTGACAAACTGTTACGAAATAACGAGATCTTTCATCTGTACCTGGCCCAAATCTTGACTCTTGATTCATCCCACCTCCTCCCCAGCTCCGGGCCAACCGTGGGCCCCCACTGCCCCATGGGGAGGGCGAGGCCTGCTTCTGATTAGTTAAGCCAGGAGGGGGGCGTGGCAGCTGCGAGCTGTTGCGATTGGTTTTCCAAAACTTGTTTTGTCCGATGGGCTCTGGGGGCCAGCTGGGCTTGTACTCCGAGTACTTTCCTGAAGAGGAAATAGAGAGGGGGGGAGAAGGAGGGGGAATATGAGTTTTGACAAAGAGACCACAGAAATGGGAGTGGAGAGGACATAGTACAGCCAACTGCTTAGGCTTCTCTACAAAAAAAACATTACTTGTACACCAGTAAAAAAAAAAAATGAGATTGGAAAATGAAAGAGTCTAAAAGAGTTAATCTCCAAAATGAAATAAAGAATATAAATATATATACCTGTGCTGTGTGCATTGCTGAGCAGGCTTTCTGAGGCACTGTAGGGCCAGGCACCAGGTGAAGGCAGCGAGGTGTTGAGGGAAGGGTTTGGCCCTAAAAAACATTACAAGGTTATTAACACATTCTGTGATAAGCAAGGCAAGGCAACCAAAGTACAGCTGGACAGCAGACAGATTGTGAGGAAAACTGTTCAACAAAACATTTGAGCTATGACTTAATGTCAATAAAGCCAGAGGAATGTAGGTTGCACAATAAAGTTTAAAATGTAGTATAAATATATATATGTATGTATATACTGTAATAAGAACATGAATTGGAAATGTGCTTTTCCCAAAAGGGGGGTGGATAACGTGACGATTGAGATCGATCTTGAAGACGTCAATGAGGTACTTTTCATGGGGATTTTTTATGACATTTGCACTTAAAACATGGATCCACACTAAGATCACTAACCAACAGAATGAAAAGGAAAAATCTGAATGTTTTAAGCAATAAATTCTGACAAAAATCCAACTGAAAACCAGCAATTGCATTGAAAAACACCTGCAAAGTTTTAAATGCCAATAGCTATGCTCATAGAAACACTGGACACGTAAAGTCAAATACCTATGTTGTCTCGTAGTAACTGGTGGTCAGAGTCATTGAGGCTGGGGGGTCCCGGGGAGCCAAGAACACTACCAGGAGTCATGTAAGGGTCAGACTCGGGGTCTCCACTACTCTGGATTCCCTTCCAGGGCACACCGGGCTGAAATTCTGTAATCAGACAACAGAAAATGTATTGAGTCTTTATTGTTTGTAACGTTTTCTCTTACTTTATTCTAAGACCCTGACTCAGACAAACTCACCTGGAGGCCAGCTGGAGGTGGCAGGTTTATTCCCCATTTTACTACCAGGAGTTCGATGCCAGTTGTCTGCAGAGCCCTGTGGGGGAATCCCTAAACCATCACTGCCCAGCATTTCATACTGGGAGTAAGGGGATCCTCCTCTCACCTTTATAGAACTGGGTAGCGGGCCTTCAGAAATAGTACACAAGGGAGGAATAAGGTCAAACAGATTCAACTGACAGTGCTTCATTCAGCTACATTATGAATGAGGGTGATTATCAGTACAGTCAACAGCAGATGGACAGAAGCCTGGGAGGTGAGTTTTTCCTGAAATATGAAATTAGCGAATACTTTGTTATGAACTATCTGTTAGCCCACCGTTCTTATGAAGGTTTGGGTTGGGGGGAGAGGGAGCTGGGGAGTGTCCCTCCATCATCCATTTGAATCTAGACTGTTGTCCTGCTGGTTCCTTCATCCCTCCCATCATGGGACCAAGCTCCAATCCTGACAGGTTACCACCAGGGGCAAGCCCTGAAAGGAGATCAGTGTTTAAAGAGATAACACAGCTACAAGTGACCACATAAAGCTTTTAGCATCAGGCACACGTGATCCTAACTGAGTCTCTCTGACTGATTTGTCAAGTTAAATTAGGTTTAAACAATGCAATTTTGACACCTCTAAGAGCAAACAAAACTTTACTTAACATACCAGCTTTATTTATAGTTACATTTACAACAGACTGTATTAGTCTAAGATTTTGCCTGTTGGACTCACCAGAGTACATCCCTTGTGTTTTGGCATGAAGGTCTGATAAGGTCCCTCCCATTCCAGGATGTGGAAGGGAGTCTACCATGGGCTGTTTGGAGAGGCCTGCTCCCAGGTGAGAAGGGGACAGTTTGGAGCTCCCTCCTCCTGTTGCAGCTCCTCCAACCCCACCCTGCTGGTGCTGCCTCTGCTGCTGCAGAATAGCCATAATCCTCGCCAGCTGAAGAGGTACAAGAAGACAAAGCAGTAATATTTATTTAGAGTTTAAGTAATGACAAAATACATTATGGACGTTTTCAGAAATACACTGAACTTTGTTCATGTCTGAAAACCGCTTATGTCTTAATAATAAGTGTTAAATTGTGTGCAGTGTTGACACAGTGTAGTTACAGCAGAGAAATACAGAATGGTTAAAATCCTGATGACACTGCATGTGGTATAACAAAGATAGCAGAATATAAACATGTTCACCTGCTGTGGGTCTGCCTGCTGCCTGAGAGGCTGAGGCTGAGGGAACTTCCTCTGGTTCTGCAGGAGCTGTTGCTGCTGCTGTTGCTGCTGCTGCTGCTGTAGAAGAAGCTGACAAGCCTGTGGGGGGGTCGAAGAAATGGTCAAACAATGAAGGTAAACATAGCATATGCAAGAGACTGCGAGTAAGTGAAAAAGAGTTGGATTACAATTAACCATGTGTTACCAAGATATTATACACAAAGGATAGTCTATATTAAATTTTCTATTCCAATATGATGATTCTATCCATCAATTAACAATCTAAGATTGAGGCACATACCAGATGGAACTGCTGCACATGGGGGTAAATGTTGCTGAGCATTGCTAGCTGCTGTGGGGAAATTTGAGGAGGGAACACCCCTCCACCAACACCACCGACCCCGCCGACACTTCCGACGCTGCCGACACCTCCCACTCCACCAACCACTCCACCCACACTGCTACCAGGAGAAGGCATCTGCTTCAGCATAGGACCCGGCACCTGCACATCACAGGGATTTACTTATATAGAGCTCCATTTAATGGAGTAGGAGGGACACTCCATTATTCCAAATGTATTAATGACTTCAAATACTCAAATTCATATTTTAACTACTTCAAAAAAGTTCTTGCAAACCATGAAGTATTATTTTCTGCAGATTGATATTTTAATTATCTTGTTTTTAGCCTAATATTCTTGTAATTTAATTTGTTGTGGTATTGTACTTGAACGATTATTTGTGACTACTACACTTTTTTATATTTTTACCTCCACCAAAGTTGCTTTATTTTCTCCCCTGTTTGTTTCTAAGTAAGATTTTGCAAACACTACTTGATGGATTTCCACAAAACTTGGTTGAATGAAGAGGTATGGGTCAGTGAAGAACCCAATACATTTCGGTGCAGTTGCAGGAATTATTTTCACATTTTCATTGATTTCTCTGAGAATAATTCATGAATCCTGATGTAAAAATATCAGGCGAGTGTGTGCAATCTGGTGCAGATTCTGAGAAAAGGACTAGACCATATTTTTGTGATGTGTAAGTTACATGTAAATTGATCTTGTCCAATGTTCCAGGAGGGCCTTTTTGTAATGTGAATATACTTTCTATAATATTAGTCCATTTCCAATTAGTATTTACTTACACAGAACACAGCGACATGTGTATTTTTATATTTGACCTCAATTTGTATGCGCCCTGGAAAGTGTGGTAAGTGCCAGACCAAAAGGCAATCAGGCAATAAATAATTCATTTCAACAGCTAGCAAGCCCAACAAACAACATGCACATCTACAAACCAGACCAACACATAACTACAGGTTTTAATGCATATCACTTTGCCCCCAACTATTTAAGATATGTAGCACCAGCATTTTTATGGGAAATATTCATGTAATATAGAATATCGTACAGCCAAATAAAACTGTTTGTGTCCATATTGTATCTAGGAGAGCTGGAAGGTCTCAATACAATATTCATCTTGGCTTATAACACCTGCGACTTTAGACAACAGACCTGAGCAGACAGGAACTGATGAGGCACTTGAGCACGTAACCCCTGGGAGTTCAATGGATGCATGCCCGGTTGGTGCATCCCTCGAGGCTGAGCCATCCCTCCGCCACTGCCAGCAAACCCTCCATGGCCACCCATCTGGAGTGCAATGAAAACCATAAAAAACAGAATTGTATTAATGCTGAATATTAAAACCTTTGGACCTGAAGTTAGTGCAGGCCACTCTTAGAATTCCCCATCCAGAGAAGATATAAAAATCTAAATAACACAAAAGCAAATGAAACTTAAAAATGGGAGGTCTGTGAAGTGACTTATAAACAGACTCATACCTTTTCTCCATACGGCCCCATGTCAACAGGACCCATGTCTTTGGAACTAGGCATGCGGTAACCTCCTCCGCCTCTTCCTCCCCTACGCATCTCTCCATTATAGTCACTCATTACTCTCTTGTCTCCTTCCATCTTTTTGTCATCACTTGGATCATCACCCTATGAAACGATATCATTTAGTGGCATCACATAATGATGTTGTCGATATCATTCATTACAACCATCGATTCTTTTTTAAATAGAAATATAAATGCATGGCTCACCAGAAGGCCCATGTTTGAAAACTGACGTGAAACTGGGTTCATCCAACTGTCCCCACCTCCACTCTTTGGGAAAGAAATTCAATTATTATTCTCAGTCAATAAAGGAAACTTTAAAAGTACGTGTTATTGTAAGTATTGAGGAAACTGTTTTGTCTATTTTGTAAAATTAACCAAGAGAGACTATATATAAACTGAACTGTGTTCAACATTTTCTACCTTGATGTTGCCCCTCTTGCCTCCATGAGTCTGACCCCAGCCTCCAGAGTTAAAGGAGGAACTGTTTCCCTGGGAGCTTGCGTTGTTCCAGACCCCCCCACCACCATCATCTTCCTCATCCCAGCTGGCGTGACGGGAGGCTGCAACGGAGCTCTCTCCCTTCCCACCCCAGCTTTCCATCGACTTGTTGCCTGCAGCAAGAACAGAGGAGAAGGTTATGATGTTAGATTCTTTGGTTTAAAAAACGCTGGATACCATTTTAATGGATAGGTGAGTGATGTTGCTTGATTTGAGACTCAGATTCATGTTAAATATTGCGTACTATTTTCAATTATGCACATTTTCTTCTGCTCTTACCAGGTTTACCAGGGTTAGTTGAAGGGTTCCCCCAGCCAGAAAATTTGCTGGTTTCATCTGGATCCCCCCAACCTGTTGCTGAGTCTGAAGCCTGGCCCCACGTAGCATTACCATTATCCCCAGATGGTGCACCTCCTCCCCACATACCTGGACAATAATGAAATTGAAAGAGAGACTTTAGAAATGTGCTGCAGAAAAATATAAAAATAAATGTGTTATGCTGATGACAAGAGTTAGTATTGTCAGCGTGTCATGTGTTGTTGAGGATGCTCTGCTACAGCTGTTTTTTATTTATGAAATCAAGAACATAAGACGATAAATAATAATATGATGATGAGCAGATTAAAACTTGTAATATTTTAAGAAGAATTTACTTGAGGTGTGTTTTGCCAAATGCAAACTTATTGTTTTGCTTACCCACTGCAGCACTGCGAGAGCTTGTGTCCCTGCTATGCTGCATCCCTTGCTGCCTTCTGGGGGGTTGCTGCTGCATGCCAGGAGGTGGGGCCTGCTGACCGTGGCTTTGACTGGGCGTAGCACTGTTCTTGTCCCACAAGTTCACATTCTTGCTTTTGTAGCGGGTTGGGTCTCCCCAGGCAGAAGTGCCATCATCGATTTCCATCTTGCGACTGATAGACTGAGGGGAGGGTTCTTCCCAGCCACTGGTGTCCAGGGCATCCCCCCCACCTCCAGAGATTTGGGGGATCGGGCCAGAGGTCCAGCCCGAACTTTGGTTCTGATTCTTGGATGGTGGACCTCCACCTCCAACATTGGACCGGCTGTTCCAGCCACCTTGCATGGGACCTCCTGGTGGCTGCTGGCCCTGTGATTGGTGCTGCTGTTGATTTGGGGCTTTCATTGTCGCCACTTGGCTGTTTGGTATCTGTGCTGCTGTTGCAGTGTGGGGCTTGGCACTCCCCCAATCTTGGTGGGATTTGCTTCCACCTCCATCCCCTCCATCCCATCCTCCTCGCTGAGACCCTCCATCATCCACATTACCCCAGGAAGATCCCTCATCAGAGTTGTTTCCTCCTCTGCATCGGCCATCTCCCCAACCACCTCCAGGCTTCGAGTCTCTCTGTCCCCAGTCTCCTCCCCCTCCAACCTGTCCTCCCCAACCACCTGTCTCCCCTCTTCCAGTCCCCTTCCACCCCCCTGTCCCTTTTTCCTCTGGACGATCTGTCCACTCGCTACCCTGATCTCCAGTGTCTCTCTTGTTACCTCCTCCTCTGTGATCCCTCCATTGCTGTTCATCAGTCCCCCATCCTTTGCCCTGGTTTTCAGGTGGAAGATCACCCCAGCCTCCAGCTGCCTTTCCTGGGTTGCCCTTGATATCTTCTTCTGGCATTCCTGGTTTCCTTAAAGTGCTACCATGCACGTGAGTACCACAGGTGGACTGTGTAGCATCACCATCTCTGCCATCCTTAACTGGTGCAGGCCCAGAGTTTAGGCTGGCCGTGTGATTACCAGAGGACGGATCATTAGTTACTGAACTGGTATTAGAGGGGTACCCAGGACCGCGACTAGTGGTCGTGGTTGCTGATGAGAATGCAGAGGAAGATGAAGTACTTCTTTGCTTTCGGTTTCCTACTCCTGCTGTGGTGTCCAGGTCCCAGGCCACATTCTGTCGAATCTGGGTCTGCCCCCAGCCCATGTTAGACAGAACTCTGGGGTCCAGGTCAGATCGGTTTAGCATGCCAAGTAAGGCCACTTCAGCATTGGAGGTCTGGGGGGAGCGGTTGTCCACAGATGAGGCTTGGTCCGGCTTGTGACTGCCATCAGTCCCTCCTCCACCACTTCCAGCTATGGGCCCTCCTCCACTGGAGGACAAAGGTGCTCCACTTCCAGTGCCTTCACCCTGCCCTCCTCCTCCACCGCCACCTCCTCCTACACCCTTCTCACTAACTGCCCGGTCACCACTTTCCACCCCTGTCTGATTGTCCCAAGCTTTTGTCATAGTTTCAAACTTTGGTGAGGCAGAGTCCTGCAAAACACTGCCCCCAATACTGCCTCCACTGCTGCTGCTGTTGCTGCTCACATCTCCTCCTCTTCCACTTCCTATTGCTAAGTTAGTCAAAGTCACACTACCCCTTGTTCCACCCCACTCTGCTTCTGAACTGCCTCCTTCCCATGCTCCCTGAGATACCACTGGGGTATTTGAACCACCGTCATTTCCCTTGCCCCAGCCTGCCTTCTCTCCCTGGCTACCAAAGCCCCACACAATCCCTTCCTGCCCCTGAGCTCCAGTGCCTCCCCCACCCCACCCATCTGCCTGTGATGAACCTGCACTGATGTCAGAGGACACTGAAGGCATGGATCTCCAAGAAGAGGCAGGTACGGAGGAAGACGAGGAGCCAGAAATATTACCACTCCCTTCTTCTTCAATACTAGCAACCCCACAACCCTTCTCATCACCACCTTCTTGATTTGGTCCTGCTCCTCCTCTTGAACCCAGCTCCGGGTTCCCTAAGTGCTGCGGTTCTCCACTTCTGGCCAGAACAGCTTTCTCAGTGTGCTGCTGATGAAGACCAGTTTGATTCACAGATGAAAGAGAGTGAGTGGTGATGGGGGTGGTGCTGGCAGAGAACGAGGAAGCTGAAGTAATGGACGAGTGCAGTGGAAGGCCTTCACTAGCGGAAGTTGATGTCCCACCTTGCACCAGGGCAGGCCAGGCCGAGGGGTTCATGTTGGGGTTAAAATTGGCACCAGGGACACTGCTGCTGCCACCGACAGGGCTCTCCTGAGGCCCAGGTAGAAGATGGGAGACTTTGGAATTGTAAAATGCTGCTGATCCTAACCCTGCCTCTACATGAGAGGAGGTGGAAGAGCCCCACACATCACTTGACTGAACACATTCATTAAGCGAGGAAGAGGAGGAAAGAGGAGGAGAAGAACGAGGTGGGGAAGGATTGTCCATGTTCCCTGCTCCTCCTCCTGCTGTTCCTCCCTTCTGCTGGATGCTTCTCTCACTCCATGAGGCACTACTGTTGTTGTTACCGGGGCAGTCTTGCTCCTGCACCCCTCCTCCAGCCATGTCAGAACTCAATTTGGCCCCGCCCAGGATGCTTGGCCAATCCTCCAGGTCAGTCCCATCCACAATCACCGTCCCGCAGCCCTGAGAAGAGGACTGGCTGCCAGAGCCTGCCCCCCATGTGGAATTTGCATAAGTTGAAGTAGTAGTAGTAGAAGAAGTAGACGACAGAGCAGCAACACATAATGAAGATGAGTTGGGGGGTGAAGGGGAGGATGAACCCAGGTTGGAATCTATAATGACAAAATGAAAGAGCATTGATATGAATAGAAATTCAAAACAAGTACTAACAGCATATGTAACTGGTGATAACAATTATGTGGCCTATTAGTCACTACAATATATGCTACATAATTAACATGAAAATCATATTTGTTCTTTGACATTGACGCACCTGTGCCTCCAGCTGTGCTTGCATTGGGGTTATCTGCTCCCTGTGAGGACATAGGTGAGGTGGCTGCCCAGCCACTGCCCCCTCCCGTTCCTCCCTCCCCTCCTCCTCCTCCTCCCCCCCCCAGCAGCATGGAGGACAGCGGCGGCTGGCCTCTCTTCAGTAACACTTTGTGGTCCTGCTGGCTGCGAAATCTTGGTGGAACCTCTCTGGACATGTATCGCTGCTGCTGGGAGGTCTGGCTTGCAGAGGGGGAGGAGGAGGGCTGTCCGTTGGCCACAGCAGTCCGCTGCTTTGCATTGTTCCCACCACCAGTAGGAACTTGTGCAGAAACCCCAGCGGCACCAGGACTGGGGGATGAGGGGGCAACGGGGCCAGGGCTGGGGGACACTGAGCCTGGGGTGGCGAGCGGCTGGGAGCAGGAGGGCTTGGCTGATTCTGGCACTAAAATATACAAATAGTAACAGGTATTAATCACCAGAAGACTACAGTGTGGTAAAAACAGAACGACAGTATGTGCATGTTACTTTGAGTAGCTACTCTGTAATTAACACTTAGTTTAAGGGAAAAAATAGTATGTGAGTGATAAAAAAGAAGAAAAGCGTGATATTTGATAAACAAACATACCTTTGATTTTCTGTTCTGGCACCTACAACAGAAAGAAAAATGAAGTCAGGTATAAGGAAGAAACTGGCAAGCTCATATGGAAACAGGAATTATCTGTAAAATGCACAAAATAAACCACAATCAGCTGTAAATATTTGGTAGCGCTGTTAACCTTCTGAGAGGTTTCCTTTTTCTTTTTATCTTCTTTCTTCTTTTTCTTGTCTTCCATGAACTACTGTTCCCTTTCTTGATTCTCCTGTCTGTGGTAGAGAAATGTACACATTCAGTTATTTGCAACACCTCAGGACATACTGAAAGCAATGTAATGCATACACACAACTGATAATATGTACTTCATCTGATCAGTGCAAAGTTTACTCCAACACAGTCAGAGTTGTATGGGCTGTAACGTTAACCAGGGGCAGACAGCTTGACAACCGCCCGTGGTAGCCTAGTTCCTCACTGCATAATTCATTAACCAGACAACGATTGCAATTCCAACGAAGAGACAACACCAAACAGCGGCCACACAAACTGAGAGACTATGACCTCTCTACTACTCTGGAAATATCGGGTTCTCTTGCATTCTAGTAGATGAGTCTGTTAGGGTAGCATGATCCAGAAGGTAGAAGCTTTCATGTGAGTACACGAGCCCCCCCCCCCCTCTACTCCATTAACACCATCACCACCAAAAGTAAATATGTGCATTGGGCAAATGCACAAGTCACATGAGGCGGTTTCTGTGGGAAATAAAACATTCTACACAAGAAGCTAAGGAAAGAAAATGGGCAGAGTTGTAGAAAAAGTCTGTAAACACGACTGGGCCCAGAGCTCAGCTGGGGATAATTAGCTTACATTAGCGTTGTATGACACGATGCTAAGTGGACAACTCGCTGTGTTGCATGTAAACACACCAGCTGATATTACAGCTCACAGCCGGTTAACGTGTGACCTCAAGTCCAGATGTTTGCATCCGCCGGAGGAGCAAACGACCTGCATTTCATTCCATGAACAGGCCACAGAGGAACAGCTGTGTGGCTGCTAGGTACCACTATGCTATCAGCTAACGTATGCTAGTCGCCTGTAAAGCAGCGGGTGACCCGAGGAGCCGGGGGGCTAACAGGGGGCAGAGCGACCCACAGACCCCGCACGACGACACCGACTTGTGCGCAGTTGAGTGCGGACAACACGCACGTCACATCGGCTCAAGACATGCCCCTTATCCTCGAGCTCCATTTTCCATTCACACGATTTCACGTTGCGTTTTTGTCCTGAACTGCACATTTATTAAAAAAAATTTAAAAAAAAAACCCAAACAAGCGTTCGAGCGGTGCTGGTGGTGGACAGGCTCGAATCCACAGACCGACTCAAACGACGCCTCGTCCACATTACAACGCAAAAACAATCGAGCCTCCGCCGAAGAACACAAACGCTGCTGACTGCACAACGACAACACACATTAGCATTAGCATGAGCTAGCACGGCGTTGGAAGTACCGGAGCGCGTTTCAACGCCACCGCGCCACAACACTCACCTCGGGAATCACACAGGACATAAAAGTGAGTCTGTGCAAAAAAAATAAAAAAAATGTAAAAAAAAAAAATGCTTGCAGACCTACCGCTAGCAGGCTAGCTAGGGAGCTAGCCCAGCGAGGGAGTTCTTCGAGGCTTTCAAGGCTGAAGTCGAGTAAGAAATGACATCACCGAGCGGCGACGTGTTGATCGTAGAAAAAAATTCGAGGAAAGGCGAGTGTTCTTTTAGTCCTCGATCCGTAAACAACGCGTTAGCCCGGGGTGACTGTCTGACGCTGTGTGGTCGGTTCGTTTACTAGCGGCCATTTTGCTTCTGAGCTGTGAAGCGGATGAAATCACCAGGCTGCGATCACAGGGGGGTGGGGGGGAGGAGGAGGAGGGGGAGGAGCCACCAGGGGGCGCCCGAGCACCGGGGGCGTGACGTCATGTACACGCGAACCAAAAAGAAGTAAACAACAGCTGATTAGAATAAGAAGGAAAAGTGACGTCCGCTGTTTCCACGCGACGATCGACCATCAGCTAGATTCTTCTCATCATGTCCAGTGTCAAGTTTTAATATTCTCCAGTGTCAAGTGTTAATTATTTTTCATGGCTGACTTTGTCTTTAGGTCAAACTTGTCTTTCCACTTGTTTGCACATGGAGCTCAGAGAAACGCGCTTTCGTTCTGCTGTGCACTTCCTGTTGTATGGTCAGGAATGACAATAAAGTTCACTTTGCTGTGAATATGGAGGAGATCTTCATTTCTCTGCAAAAGTTACATACACCTGAGCCATCAGGCCGCATTTTCAACTCCCCCCCCCTTTAAAATGCTGGGGATGGAGTTTTTCAAATGAGAAATTGTGAATATGGGCAGAAGTGCAACTTGTGTAACTCTGCGTGTAAATGAACGCATCAACAAAACCACAGTATTTACAACATTGATTAGAAGAAACAGTTTGTAACACAATGGAGAAGTGCGTCAATGTTTAAAGTATTCATACATAAGAAAATGACTGATAGAGTACGGAGGAGCACTAATTAGTCGCAGTATGTTTGGCACAAAGTAAATTATCTTCTTTTACTTTAGAGTTTTGAGTAGTGGAGCATTTTCCAGGTCAATTAACTGCAATAACGTCTAAATTTATGCTGTTATGTCTCAATAAAAAGTTGAGCTCATAAGTATTTTATGCATTTAAGGAACAAGTGAAGTGAAACTCATTTTTTTATTAATTTATTCTTGAAAACAATGTCAGTTACAACATAAACTAATTTGGTCACAGTGAATTAAAAAATTAAAGCTTCAGTTGTAGTGTAAATAAAAACAGGGAACTGGCTGACCTGCAGTCTTACAAGTTTTTCCTTATAAAAATGTATTCATATAACTACACTTACATCATCCGTATACTTTTCCATGATCTGAGTTACTGATTTATGTCCTAAAGATTATATCAGCAAAAAAAGGACAGTTTATACTCAAAATACAAAGTGTGGACAGGCTGTTCCTCCAACAAACAACAATCTCCTTCACATGAGCCTTCATCCTCTCTGGGTCCTCACAGCTTCACTGTCTTCACCTTGTGTGATCCTCAAATCTAATTTTGAAAGTGCATGTCGGTTATATATTCACATATATTAAGCTTGAGTGGGGAAAAAGAAACAATGCATAATTCATGCTAATTAAAAACAACTAATTGCGGATACATCTGTGCAGAGAGACAATTTTATTTTTGTAACTTTTAGACAATTGTAGACAGTCCAGCTGGCTAAATAGGTGTGAAATATGAAATATCTGTTTGTAAACATGCACATTGGTCAGTCCAATGTTATTTCACTCATATTATTAAAGAGATCTAACACCAAATATTAATCACGAATATTAATCCTCTCCAGAGACTTGTCTGTGGTTTGCAGCCAGATTGTTTATTCAAAGACAGGAGAGTCTAGTTTGCACTTTGAATATCAGCACACAGTCTCTCCTCTACTGCAGCCTGTCCAGTTCCACCCATGCTACTGCTTTCTGCTGGCTATCGATGGCCTTGCATATGGCTGCCAGCAGCTCATCGGTGCAGCTCCAGGTGCTGGGCTCCAGGGTGTAGAAGAGCAGCGGCAGCATCTCCAGCTGCAGCTCCTCGGCCTGGCACACCTCCTCCATCACGTTGTCCTCCCCACACCGTGGAAAAAACTTCCTGTTTCAAGTGTTGGAGAAGAACAATAGTTAGGTATTTGAAAATGAATTTACCATCCTCTGGTTGTATGCTTCCACTAGCAGCCTTAATGCAATTTATAGATTCATATGAGGTCATCCTGACCTCTGACCACTGAAATCTAATCAGTTAATCTTTGAGTCCAAGTGACAAGCAACAAATTCCCTGAGGCCAGAATTAAGATATCATGTTTGTGTGAAAGGATTCTCTTCAGGCTTTCTTAAGATGACACGATCACAAAGCAGAAAATGACAGTGAACTTTTAATCCTGGGTACTAGACATCTCAGAGAAACTCTGTCTAACCAGGCGGATATCATCTAGGTTAACCGACTGGTTAGACAGAGTTTCTCTGAACTCCACTGTGAAGAAACTAGGAGTTATCATTGATGAAGATCTGTCATTTACCCAACAAATTAGTCAAACCTCCAGAATAGCTTTCTTTCATCTGCGTGATATAAAGAGAATCGGACACATCCTGTCAAAACAGGATTCTGAAAAACTGATTCATGCTTTTATTACATCTAGGCTAGACTACTGCAACTCCCTATTATCAGGATGTCCCAGCAGATCCTTAAGAACCCTTCAGCTTGTGCAGAACTCTGGACTCCTTGTAGTGCCTAGAGTTACTAAGAGTAGAATGGGTGGTGGAACGTTTAGTCACCAAGCTCCTCTCCTTTGGAACCAGCTCCCGCTCTCAGTGAGGGAGGCAGACACAGTCTCTACATTTAAGGCTAGACTTAAAACCTTCCTTTTTGATAAAGCTTTTAGCTCAACCCTGAACCATAGTCATCCATAGCTATGCTGCCATAGGCCTACATTGCTGGGGGATCACCCATCAGGCACCAGAAACCAGCACCTTCTCTCTTCTTCTCTCTTCTTCACTCTCTGCCTGGTTTGTTTTGTTATATCTTATTACATATCTCTAACTCCTTGTGTCTTCTCTTCTCCTCCTTGGTCCATGCTGTGCGGCTCTCCGGAGCTTGTTCTTTCTCCATCACCCCAACCGGTCCTGGCAGAGGCCGTCCACATCGAGCCTGGTTCTGCCGGAGGTTCTTCCACCTGGGAGTTTTTCCTCCCCGCTGTTGCTCATGCTTGTTCGGTGTGGAACAAGTTGGATTTTGTGTTTCTTAAGATCTTGGACTTTTGTGCAGCACCCTGAGACAACTGTTTGTTGTGATGCTGTGCTATATAAAAATGATCTGATGCATGCTTCCTACTTGCAAATGAACGAGCACTCACCTCAGCTTCTTGTTTTTTTTATTCTTGGGGCGGATGTGGATGACAATTGGGTAAATCCCATGTCTAAGTAAGCCTTCAACACTGGTCAGCCCCAGCTCCAACAGACAGTGCTTGTCCTAAAACAGACACAGAGGGAGATTTGGATAATCTATAATAATCTACATTCATTTGTTTTGTCATGGGCATCCTCTTTCTGCGTTTAAGTGAAGAAGTGATGCAGGTAATTGCTATGATTGGTTATTTATTTCACTTACAAACACCCTTCACACTCCTCCCTGAAGGAGAAAGATAGTTTGACCCTGTTTTTTTGAGATGAGTGGAGTATTTTTAATTACCTGACTAATAACATCCTGTATTGACTTCAGCCGTACGCCCAGAACCTGTTCTGGACTGCAGGAATCCAACAGGAACACGCTCTTGTCTCGTCTCTCTGACGCCTGGATGGGCTCTGCAAACCACAGAAAACACAAAGAGTAGAAAGTGGTGGTCAAAAGAAGAATTGTCTCTGTGTGTGTGTGTGTGTCTGTCTGTGTGTGTGTATACCTGGCGGACAGGTGTTGAAGCTCAGACCAGACGCCGCTGGCTGCAGCAGACGCTCTATGAGACCACGAGAGAGCAGAGAGGGGGAGAATATGACCGGCCTCTTGGTCTGAACCTGCACCGGCTGCACTAAACTGTAAGGGATCAAGTGCTCGTCGTGACCTGAGGGGACACATGCAGAAACGTGCACATTAAAACAAAGTGAATCATCGCGTAGAGTTGGTGTTTTACTTTGAGAACAATGGCGGCCGGGTCTTACGTTTGCTGAGTGTGTAGAAGACCTGCTTTGAGGAACCAATCCCACGACAGCTGGGGTCCACTGCTTTGACCAATCGTACACGACCAGACCGTTTCTTCGAGAACTTAGTAGGAAAACAACATTTAATGGTTTGGTTCAACTGTGGGAGCTCATTCTGGAGGACTCTGGATACTTGCTGTCCTTCAGACTTACCACCTTCTTCTTGAAATCCTTTTGCTCCAGGGCCATTTTCCGGAGCCTCACAAGCAACAGCTGTTGTGCCCTGATATAGAAAAAAGTACAATCCAGGATATTTACTAGAATTAACATATTTAAAATGTGTTGCCCAGGGCTTATTTTTAACATAAATACACACTACACCTTATTATCTAGATCAGGCTAACATTTGTCTTTCAGAGCTACAGTCAATATTTCTCAAGGGCCAGAATTAGAGGTGTTTTTAGAATAATAAAACAGTTAAATCGAGGTCTAATTGACATACCTGTTATAGTTGGGCATGGTTCCTGCCTGCAGGGGCTTGGCAGTGCGTGGGTCCACGATCGAACAGCTCCAATGGTATTTCCCATTGTGCCTCGTGTCTGTGACGTGTATGATGTCATCACAGGACACGCTCAGAGAAGGTGGGTCACCGTGAGGCTCAATATTAAGATTGACACGCACGTAGAAAGAGTCGGCACCCATAAACGTTGACGACTGGAGCTGGGAGCACAGCTTGGAGTACGCTGATGACAGGAGGCAGAAAAGAGGATGATTTAATCTCTTCAGTTGGAGATGTGAGTTAATATAACTCGGGGGGGAAAGTTAAAAAAACTATAGTATTAAAGTTTAATAGCATTTCTTCACTTCTCTCAGATAGTACACTCACCCTCTGGGTTGCTCTGGTGTTTGAGTGTCGAGGCCTCAGTCCACCACTGCAGGGAGAAGTGGGCGACCTCAGCAGTGCACTGGCTGAGCTGGACGCTGCCCCCTCCGAACAGAACCCGCTCCAGCTGGACGACACAAACAGAGAAAACATTCATCTTTCATCTCACTTGGTCTTATTTTTCATTTCATTTCAGCTTTCCTTCGCTTGCAAAAATTCACACCTGCAGACTGTTTGTCCCAAGAATACAAAAATGTAGCATGTAGCACACAATAACACATTCAGTCGTCAAACATGATTAATTAATCATGCACACACACACACCTCCAGCAGCTCACTGCCCTCCTTCAGTCCACACTGCTCAGCTGGGGAACCGGCTCTCACGTGGCTCACAAAAATCCCCGTCTGGTTTCCTCCAACTATCGTGATGCCATCAGCCAGACTGGCCCTCCCGTGATTCCGCGGGGTGGGGGGACTTGAAGATGGCGAGCGAGGGGGTATCCTGAAAGATGGATAGACAGCAGTGAGACGCATGTACATTAAATAAACTAATCTAACAAATGAGATTATTAATATTCAATTAGATGTAAACAACTGAGCTGATACGAATATTACCTCGTCTGTCTATTGGTTGGTTTAAATGTTTGTTTGTAAGTAGGATTTCACAACGACTGGACTGATTTCCATGAAACTTAATGGAAGGATGTGGTTTGGGCATTTAATTTTTGTTAATAATGTGACCTCAGCAGAAGGAATAATACAATATTCTCTTTCCCTTGTGCTCATTGTCATGTATTTGAATTTGTTGTGAGTCCATCTACACGGAACAAAATTGACTTTGCTCTGTATTCAAATGCCATAATAAACTTGGCACTGTCGTCAGGATCCCTCATACGAGAGGATGTCTGGACCTAAACGCTGAAGGTAAAGACCGAGCACGGCTAGTGAAATTAATCCTTAGTGTTATTCCCTCATCGCAAAGGTGCTCGTTGCTGCTGTGCACATTTTACAAGTTACAGAAGTCAGTGTTTTGAGGCTGCACCTGGGAACGGTGAGACCGGGTTGGCGTGAGGAGACGGACGGCAGGTTGACCAGGTCAGGGGGGAAGAGATGAGAGTGAAGCGAGTTGCTGGAATCCCACAGAGAAAGTTCAGTCTGCTCACCTGAAAAGTCACAAACAAAACCTGAGCTACAGTTTCTTTTTGCTGCAGAGGAAACGTTGACGGTCGCTTCATTTGTATGCAAAACATGTCAGAAACAAATGTACCTGTAATATTCTCATTCTCATCACTGCCCCATGAGTCCAAGTCAAACCTTCACAGAGCAGAAAAAACAAGTTCTTACGTTAATGACATTAAATTATGTGTAAAGTAGGTGGAATAAGAAAAGGCTGAAAAAGTGTATTGATAAAGTTACGGCTGATACACTCACTCTGTGTTGACTCGTCGGTTGATGGAGTTCATACAAGGAGGGAAGGGGAATGTGGAGAGACGGTTTATTTCTTTTTCATTATCTTCTGTCTGAGGATGGAAGTAAACAAGGTGTGTTTCATTGTTTCATTCTTATTTCTTTCTTGTATTCATGAATGAGTAGATATTTTATTACTTACTGATGACAGGACGTTCTCCTCTGAATTGGAATCTGTGGAGGAGCAGAAAGCAAAGAACATATATTTTTTAATTTCTAATCTTTCTAAATCATCTTCCAGCTGCCAGTATACACAGCTTACCCTCTGAGTTTTCATTGGTCTGTCCTCTAGATGGCGTCTGTGGCACAGAAAGGATGAGTTAATATCATGTGACCTCACAGTTGCTAAGAGATGTTATGCAGGTACGAACTTGCATCAGTTGCATAACAATGTATTACAACATCCCATAATCCCCCACAACAATAGCTGAGGACATTTTCCTTGCAGTCCAAAGAGCTGCATTCCTTGCATAGCATAATAACAACATGAGCAAACGCATCAGTGCTTTACAAAACAGCTGTGACCTGTGGAAATGATACCTCTCAGGAAACAAAGAAGCGGCTACAGCTCTTATGATTGACAGCAGCACCTCACTTCTGTACCCAGAAGCACTGGTTCTGATTAAAATCATGACGAGGACCATGTAGTGGAAAGCCAGCGCTGACCTTTCGTAGCAGCAGGTGGGTGCTGTTGATCCGGGGGCACAGATCCAGGCCGAGGGAGCAGCAGGGGCCATAGCACTGGTCCTCACTGCACAGAGACAGGTTGGACTGGGGGGAAGTGTTTGTATTTAATACTCTGTGGTTACAGTGTAAATCGTCGTGTTCTTAACGTGGACTCACACAGTGCAGACAGTGGTTGCTCTGCTGCATTTGCTCATGGCTCCTCTCCCTCTCTCGCTCCAGCTCCCCCTGCTGCTGCTCCAGGTTGGCCTGAATCTCCGCAATGCGTTTACGCAGGCGGTTCTTGTCCAGAAGACAGTCGGTGTACTCCAGCTGCAGGCTGTCACGGCTACGCAAAGCCTGGAACCAAAAGCAGGGAAGTTAACATGGTGTAAAAACCGTACAGACTGGTCAGGGATGCTGATATTGGGGAAATTAAATCTGCAGCAGGATAAACACTGACAGGCTCAACTGCAACCCAGCTAACTACGAAATACACAACTACCTCCACAGCCTGTAATCATAGAGATGGTTACAGGCAGGGGGTTTAAAAGGACTTTGGGGCCCCAGGCTAAAAGATCCTGAGGGGCCCTACATCAAATTAAGAGCCCAAGCCAACCAAACATGTCATTCTAAATTTCCTAGTTTAATGGTATGGCTGGTAATTGGTTACACACTGACCTGGTCTCTCTCCTTCTCCAGTTCCATGATCTGGTTGAAATAGGATACGCTCCTCTTCTGCTCAGTCTCCCAGTCCAGCTGGAGAGTCCTCAATTTCAGCTGTAGCTGCTCACACTGCGACTCCAGCTACAAAATAATTCACAATAATAAGAAAACAAACCCCGTGATCCAGTAGGAGAGGAGCAGGGAGGGGTACATCATGGACTATGGTCTATTAACCTAAATCCAATCTGCATGTCTTTGAGCTGTGGGGGGGAAGCTGGAGCACCCGGAGAAAACCCACGAAGACACAGGGACAACATGCAAACGCCTCACAGAGAGACGGGGGACCTTCTTGCTATGATCAAAATTTGATAAAAGATAATATGTGTCATGTTTGGATTGACAGGTAATGTGATCACCTTGTCCCTGTACTCCTCGGAGCTCTGCACCTCTCCCTGGAGTTTAGTGATGATATCACAGAGCTCCTGCCTCTGCTCTGAGGCCTCCCTGCGGTCCTGTTTCAGGATATCCATCAAAGCCTGAGGTGAACAATAGCAACAAAATAAAAAAAAATACAAATACAAAAAGAAGATGAGAAATCTTTACAGACAAATGTAAGAAAAACATACGATGACTCCGGTGGCAGGGACCCTCTTCTGAGTTTCTGAGCACTCGGCTCGGTGCAGTGACTTCTCTGGTAAAACAGGCAGAGAAACATGGGCTCCATTTGAGAGCAAACTGTTTCTTTTGACTGGCGCAGCGTTCTCCACTGCTCCGAGGGTTCGGTTCTCTGCCTCTGTCAGCCTGGACTTTAGCTCCTCTACCTGGATGGAGACAAAGCCAGTTGAGACGTAACCTGACATTGACGTTGTTGTGCTGTTGTAAAGTAAAAGACTGTGAATTATGACAAAAAATATGTTCTGTTAGAAAATATAGGATTTTTTTTGACTAAGTTGGCAAACGATAAAAACATGTCTCTCTGCATTTATTCCAGAGAATAGAAGCTCGGCTTCTTACTGGTTTTAAAAGACGACATCACATCACACTAATCCTTCCTGCGCTCCATTAGCTCCCTGTACAGTTTAGAGTTAAGATTTTACTGAGGGGAAGAAACTCATCTTTTAAAAATGGTTTTGTCATCTTGTTTTTATGGCTTTAACGTGATTCTGTCTTTGCTCATTGCTTCTATTTAATTAATTTTCTTCAGTGTGAATGCATTTTCTGTGATTTCTGAGTTTCCTAAGTTGCGATATAAATAAAGTTATTATGAGTCACACTGCAGATGAGATAGCAAGAGGATTCTCGATATATTTCAGTTAGGCTGTAAATAAACCACAAATATTTTCAGGTATTCAGTACAAAGTGGTTCACACGTCAGTGGTGGGGGCGACATGTTGCAACAGAGCACAAACGAAATAAAAAAGGAGGCTGATACTATCTACACAGAAACGCTGGTTTGAGTTTTCGGTGTTGCAGTTGCATGCCTTCTTACATTCCACTTTAACCACCCCGAGCACTGCTGCTGTATTTGCCGTCTAATCATGCAAAAATGTTATTTTCCTTTCACTCTCAGTCTACTGGAATTTGAAACTACCTCTCCCTGTCTCTACATGAAATCCCTGAAACGATTTTGTGACACATAAAAAAATGTCTGTTTCTATTGAATTAGTAGCATCAGCAAATCTGGCAAATATTTGGTGAAAACACAACCTCCTTGGCAGAGGTCTGCCCCCCCCCCCCGCTGCAAACCGACCTACCTGCCTCAGCAGCTCCCTCTCTCGGATGGAGGCCTTGCCTTGCTCCTCTAAGGCCCTGGAGTATTTCACAGCCTGCTCCAGGTGTCTGTCCTTCAGCTTTCCCAGCTCTCGGGTGGCCGACTCCCAGTCCTGACGCAGCCTTCACATCACACATCGTCCAGAGCACACATTGTTTCTCATTGATTACATTGGTACAAAGACACCAGAAACAACATATGGATGAATTGCATGATGAGAGGATATTACTTTTTAAACATCTTCTCTTCATTGTCATTAATCGTTCATTCTCTGAGACAAGTTTTCTTTTTATTCGTCTTCAACTCCAAATAGCAGGATTCAATTTTGGAACCAACCTCTCTAGTCGCAGTTTGTCGTAACGTAACTCCTGCGCTTTGCGTTCAGAGCGGACGCGCTCGTCCTCCGCCATCCGGCAGCGCTGGGACAGGCGCCGCTCACACATGCGGCTGTTTCGAAGCTGATCCCTCAGTTTACGAACTTCCAGGAGCAGAAACTGGGTCAAACCCTCCGGACCTTCCTCGTCTGGGGAGAGAGGCAGGTGGAGGTTACTGGTTATGATGTATGGAGATGGTAAACTCACAGGAAAGTAAGAGAAGATCTTTGTCTCAGAGGCCATTGAAGCTAAATATCAGACATCTAACATGCACTAAAGTCAGTGGATGCACTTGAGCATCACTGTTGGTAGCATTCGATAACATTCAAAAAGATTCCATGGTAGAACTTGGAGAATCACGACAGAAACACTTGCAGCTATGAGAGAAAGTTCTTTTTCCCATCAATCCAAGTTTTATTCAAAATCTCCTCACAGGGCTGTAACAGAAACCCCTGCTTACCCAGTATGAGGGAGCATCGATGTGTGGGCTGCTGCCCGGTCAGCTGCGTGTACTGCTCCGGATGGTAAAACTCAAGCGACTCCATGAAGGCCTGAATACCTCGCTGGCCCTGACCACGGAGAATGTCCAGGAGACGACCTGTTCAACGAGAGACAAAAACATGCTCAGAACTAGAACTACCGCCCTGCAGACGTGGGGTTGGGATTCGTTTTGTGAGGCTTCAGCGGCCTTTGACCTTTGAGCGCCCAAACTCAGCGAGGTGAGAGAGCTCCTCAGTTTTCAGTGTGTTTATGATGCAGAAAAAGGAAAACCCCTTTACTGGCAGCAGAAGTCAATGGCTTTTATATAAAGTTTAGCTGAATAAAAAGAAAACCTGTGTATACTCGCTAATTGTAGTGTAAAGAGGTAAATCTGAATATTAAAAGGATTCTCTCCCGGTGTCCTTAAAATAAACTTAAAATAAATGTTATTACTTCATTCTCTAGTGATCATTTGCACCAAATTTGAAGAAACTCCATCAAGGTGTTCTTGAGATATCACGTACACAATATTTCTTTCCTACGCACAAACCGTGTGCAAAAGCAACGTGGAATAAACTGTCATGTCAGAGTTTTGGTTCTGTAAACTACCACATCTGAAACAGAGAAACCACAGAACAGCTTCCTTTTTGATCTGAGTGTCTTTCCTTCCTGTAGTTATGTTGTAGTTTCAAACGTGGACATGATATAAACAAGCATGAGCTCAGTCACTGGCAAAGAAACGACACTGTGCACTGGACCAGCTGCTCCTCCTCATCCCGTCTGTAACATCTCTCCTTCATCTTTTTCTTCTCTCGCTCCTGATTCTTCTCTCTCCTTCACTCTCCCCACTACTTACAAATGTCTTTCATGTTGCTCCTAACAACATTTATCTTCACCACACGCTCCTCCCTGACAACCTGCTGCACGATCATTCAAACTTCAAGTCACTTCACCACATGAAGAGTCTTGTTAGAGTGTAGATTTGTTTCCTATCTTATTGTTCAAACGACATCACTATCTATCTATCTTGTTTTTAAGGCACCATCATAAGCTTTATCTTTCACTTCATACAGCATCTTAGCTTCTTTAAACCTGATGATTTAGCTTGAGGTGTTAAATTGTATTGATTGATCCTCTCACCGGCCTTGCTGATGCGCAGGGGGTACTGCGTGGAGTTGAGCACCTCGTCCTCATCCTGCTCGTCGATGACCTTGCACTGCCGCAGGTACGGGGTGACTTTAGCCGGGTTCAGGATGCGCGTGAGCTTGTGTCGCACTCCTTCCACGCGCTCCCACAGCTCCTCGCAGCGCTCCTCCGTCCAGGGGGCTGAAGAGTGCCCCTCCTCTGGAGCCATGTCTCTATCATCCATCCAAACTGTGACACCTGCAGGAGAAGAGCAGAGTCCAAAGACAGGATGTCATGAAAACAATACTTTTTTAAATCAAGACTCAAGATGTTTGTTGGTGTGGACTAGAGTGACTGATATCTGTTATCAGTGAAGAAATGAGAAGATGCTCCAGACTGGTGGCTGTCTAAGACTTGTTTAGAGGGAATTAACCCCTAATAATCCAGATTCTGACACATAAACTGAATTTAACTTGAAGACCACAGACACAGTGTTGAATCTAAATCAGGTAAAAATCCAATACATGTTTGTGCGAAAGAACGAGATGTAATATTAACACTCAGTGTGAGCAGCAGTGGTTTTTGGTTTTAATTTAATTGTTGTGGAGCAAAGGGTCTAATGTTGTGAGGGTCAAAAACAAGGGGGAAGGGCACTTTGTGGGTTGGTGCCTCAGAGTGCAGGAATGAAAATACTGGCATGACTCACACTGTGCTCCTAAAAACACAGCAGGGGACCACAGACAAAGACTTTTCCTGGTCCCATTCACTTCACACTGGAAGAGACGGAGAGAAAGTGAGTAAACCGTTCACTGCAGGAGTGATGGTCGTACGTCATAACGAAATAACAGCTTTCCAAATCAACAACAAAGCTGTGGCCCGATCTCATTTCTGTTGGTTCAACAAATGTAGTGAGTCTGTTTTCATCACACAGGAAACCAGGGCACTTACACATCTCACGGTGAGAAGCGTTTCATTTCTAACTCTTCGTTTTCTGAATGTTAAGAATAAGAACAAAGACATCTGGGCTCATGACAGTGATCATATTTGAATTAAAATCAAAAGAAGCCATTGATGACTTTAAAATGAAAATGACCCTCAAGTATTGAGCCTGTGTCTCTACTGAGAGTGGTTGTCTGCAGCTCTGGGCTAACAGGCAGGTCAGGACAGGTCTGGACGCTCTGGAATTTCTGTCAGTATCTATAAACAGTCTATTGAGACATTGAAGTAATGTAATTCCCACTTCACTCCCACGTCTGAAACTAAGCAGGAAACCCTCACCTAAAGATGAACTCTATTATTAATTTACCATGACTTCGTCCAACAAAGATACTCATAGCACCCCTACAATAAAACAAAAGTTAAAAACAGATAACCTGAAATAAAGACCTGATGTAATCTTTAAAACACACCCCCATTCCAACAAGATGTAAACTGACTTTTTACAGACTTCACTTGTGTTTACTCTTTTGGGGATATCCAAACTGTGTGTAGCATTAACACATGTTAGATGCAGATTTTAGTTAGCAGACTTTAAATCAGTGTGTTAAATGTTTTTGATAAATATTGGACAATATGTTGGGGGAAATTATTTCAAAAGAAAAGAACTGGAATGATGGTTTGCAAAAGTAATATCACAAGTAATAACACTGTCACAGGGTACTTCATATCCAGAGAAAAGAAGACATTCTACTACAGACACACATGATTGTACAGGACTTTATTGATCATTTACCAGGTTATATCAAAGACCTGCTGCCATATAAAGTGCAGTTTTACAGCAGTGACAGACAGATAGATAGATAGAGCAGCTCCACGTCTGTCACAGATTTCCCAGAGAACAACAGAGCGAACTGTGCCCACACTTTGAAAATCAACAACGTCGACTTACCGCTCATGTCTCCAAACTGCGTGAATCTCCTGTGACGGTGACTGAGTGTAAATCTGCAGTGTGAGCCCTCACATCCCGTTCAGCTCCACTGACCAAGCGAGACTGAGGAGGAGTGAGGGCATCGAGTGTGGGCGAGCATGCAGCTCCACGTTTACGCGCACCTTTACGCACGCGTCCACTCCACCCTCAGTCCACAGCAGGCAGCCAATCAGTGGCAGAGAGAGAGACGAAAAAATCCCCACTTATCACTTCACCACTTTTACAAAACGATAACCTAATAATCCAGCCTCATGCCTCTGTAAAGAAATACTTTATATCGAGCCCTCAAGCACTAGAGGGCGCTTTCAACCAAGGAGAGGCCACACAGGTTCTAAACAACCATGGAACTGAAGTGATAAAGTTCAAAATGAAAGTTTCAGGATAATGTTAAACATCTGAATGAAAAGTTTTCTTTGCTCACCGACAGAACCTTTTTCGTTCGATGTCACCATGGAGGCTGACGACAGAACAGATAACAGGACAGAGCAGTGACTCACTCTCCAGGTGTTTCACTGCAGTGGAGCAGGAAACAGCCTCTCAGCTTGTAAAGTGCAGGACGGAGTGTTGTCAGACTCTCAGGCCTTGAGTCACCAGCGTTGCCCCGAGAAACCCATTGATCCCCATCAAAACACAGTGACACAGAGTTTCATATCGACAGTCATATATATATATTTTATCTTGAGTAGATTGTGATCTCTCCGGCCCCTCCCACTGGAGGACGGTGGTAATTAGAGTCAAACTCAATGTGTGTCTCAGCTGACTCATACTGATGGCATCACTTCTAATCACCTCACTCATCGCTTCCTGTTTGGTGCCAGAGAATTGAATTAATTAATTAATTTAAAAAAACATATAATGCAAGTTAATGTAATACACAGACACACTCGATAGCAGCAGGTGAAAGAGATGAGGGCCGTGTTACTGAAAAAAGGGAAAGTGACGTTAGAAATTAGAAATTAGTGTCTAATAAAAATAAATCGTTGGTTTATTTAAATATTTCTATGTATAAAAGTGTATTTAAGCTTTTAAATGATAAACCAAGTGGGTACACATCAATTTAGGAAATATTTCTCTCTCTATTAAATGGTGCTGCTGGTCTCTCTCTCCTCTCTCTTCCTCCCCCCCCCCCCCCCTTCTTTCTCTCTTCTCTTCTCTCCCCTCTTTTCCACCCACCTCTCCCTCGTTTTTCACCTCCCTCCTCAAGTGGTCGCGGCAGAGGGCCGCCCACAGTGATTCTAGTTCCACAAGAATTTTCTCCTCGTGAAAAGGGACTTTTTCCTTTTCTCCCCAAAAGCTGCACATCATGGGGACTTTTGGGATTCTTCAAAAAATATTATAAGGTCTTGACTTTACTAAGATAATGTGTGTTATGATTCATACAAATACCATTGAATTGAGTTGAATTATATATAATAAGTCAGACATGAACAGTAATAAAGCAAATTCAGTTTCAGTTAAAACAACTATTAACTACAAAATCTTTGTCACACATCAACCAGGTAGGATGAACACAGTTTTCTAACTTTTAATCAGAAGGGGAAAATGACATTGTTTTGTGTCATATACCACTTAGTTTATCACGCCACCAAAATCCTTATGTACATCTGTCGCTACAGTAAGAAGCCAGACAGGAAACATGAGGTGCCCGGCAGAAGAATGAGTCTTTTTCTTGGCCTGTAGACAGGAAATGTCAGGCTGCTCTCTGTCTGTCTCCTCCTCCTCCTCCTCCTCCTCCTCCTCCTCTTCTCCTGCAAGAACAGGGTCAGATGTGACGATGCTGCAGCAAACGTTCTCACATTAAACCAGTGGATGTAAATAAAGACTTTTACATGTAGTGTGTGGTGAGCTCTAAAAATAATAGTGTTGGTGATGTAATTTCATTTCACACACTCAGTGAAGGACGTGTAGTTGTGTGCAGATATTAAAGTAACGTGTGTGGGGAGATGCTCTGTTCATCTTTACTTATGACTCATAAACTCAAACATCTTTCTTCTTCTCTTCTACCGCTCTTTCTTCTCCTCTCTGATCTTTTCTCTCTGCCTCAGTGTCTGTTGTTTACTCTCTGCTGCTTCTTCTCAGGACCGTACAGTCCTGCCTCCGACAGCCCGTCCAGGCCTCAGGCAGCGGAGGGAGGGAGCGGGGAAAGGGGAGGGGGGGGGCTGCAGTGGATGAGCATTCCTGTTGTTTCTGAGGTGACAGCGATACAGAGGGGCCATTGAGAGCCACACTGGACCCCCACAGTTGGCTCATGCTGGAATGTGTGATATCGTGACGGTTGGGCCCAACAGAAATAGAGCGTTCAGAATTCATTGAATGCATCATATACTTTCATTGTGAAGTGTGTGAGCAGGTTTCAGAAAGATAAGGCCGGTGAACACTTCTACTGCTGCGAGGGACAGAGAGTCAAACCAGTTGACAATTAGCTGATTGACGAGTCTTGCACTTTGCAGGTGGCACTTTTGACCCAGCAGCTGTTTCACCTGCAGCTTCAGGGCAACAGGAGACGTTCGGGACTGAAATGAGCATAAATCTTCTTTATATCTGTGAAGACTGACTGTTCAGTGAATCAGACATCTTGCATAAATGTACACCAGTGTCTGTGGGCTTCATTTCTATGTCTGTTCCAGTCTGCTCCTGCCCTGCACACAACAAGCCGGCAGCTGACCCCCCATGGCTCCGTCTATGACTCAACGCTGGCGGCTGCACAGAATCGCCTCTTTGTGTTCGTGAAGAATGTGTCTTTTCTGACTGTTTTTTTGGAAAACAGAGGCAGAGAAGGAGCGAGGTGGGGGCGTCAGTAATTGAGACAGATTTAAATTTATCCTCTGTAGCCAGGATACTAGGACAGCATCTTTCACAACGGAGCAGACTGGTGGTCCCTAAAGTAAAAGTTGAACGTTATAGATGAAAAAAGTTTAGGTTTCAAATTGTAATTCAGGGAACAGACTTAAGACTTGTATGAAATATGTATACGACCTCCTACACTTGACATTGATTGGTTTGTAGATGGGCGTGTGTCTGACGTCAGCGTGTTGTTACCTCAGTTATTGGATTTGCTAACTTTTTTGAAAAAGGCTCATTGAATGTTTGATTTTGCAGATCCTGAGCAGACAATTCTCTGGTTCATGTGATGCCACCGCTCAGACTTTAACCAGGCTGACAGGAGGACGTCGGCTGCAGCGACACTGAGCTCAACTTAACTGTGTGCAATCAAAATAGTAAAATAAAGTGTGGCTCTTAAAGTAAAATGTCTGAGTGTTTTGTACGTTAAGGAACAGAAACCTTCTTATTATACTGAGTCGATAGTGTCCTCTCATTCCCGGCTCTGTATCTGTGTCATGTGGAGCAGTGAGTCTTAATGAGATCTTGTAACTATCCCAGAGTAAAACCCTGCAATTTCCTGTTTAACATGGAATCAACTTCAATAACGTCAGGCGGTCAGAGTGAAAAACACGAAATCTTAGCGAAACAAACAAGAAGCTCGGAAAAACATTGGCCGAGACAAAATGTTTACGAAAAATCAAAGCAGAGGCCACAGAAGGGAGAGCTTCTTTATGACTGTGTGAGCTTCACTAAACTTTTTCACTCCTCTGTATATCATCTCTTGGTCCAGGCTGTGGACTGTGGGGGGGAAATCTATTTAGTTTTGAGCTGCTTCTGGATATTAAAGTTTTCCAAATATTCCCTTTGAAGAGGACAACATACAAAAATGAGAAATCAACACCGATGCTCAGTGTCCCTGTGGAGAGACTCCCCCGACTATGGACCTCATCGTCAGTGGGTGCCCACTGGGTCCCATTTGCTCCAACAAACACCTGAAGGAGACAAACAACACCTAGATTGGATACGGCACTGGCGTGATAAAACATGACGATGCAGAGGCTTGAGTCCTCCGGTTGCCGTATGGTTCGCTTCCGACCCGGCCCTTTGCAGCCCGTCTTCCCTTTCAGTAATTTCCAGATTTGGGATCAATAAAGCAGATCTACAATATCTGTCTTTCCTTCTTTCTCCACATTTCACACTTGAACTACATGTCAATAAAATGAAACGCCCCAAAAACTACAGCCGCATCAGCATAAAATAGGCTGTAACCCACAAATACTCATTGTTTCAGGACAAAAAATGCATTTCAGTGCCAGCACAAGTCGGCTTAGGTTCCACAGCGGTAAGTGGCCCTGTCTCTTCACAGTGTCGAAGCGTGAACTGCTGATTGAGTTGTCATGGTGCTTAGACTGTGTTTTTCACATTCGGACACACTAACAGAGAAAAAATGTGCACACATAAACAACTTTGTGGTTCCAGTGAAAACTGACGCCCCGGCCGCTGCTCCCCTTCCTGTCACTCTCTCTCCAGAGCACTGAGGCTTGAGTCCATGTTTGAATTACAGGGTGTATAGCATGGCTGTCTAAATCTGAGCTCCACCACACACTTGAGCTGCAGACATAGACATTTAATCAACCTCTGCACATCAACTTCCAGATTCATAAACAGTTTTAAAAATGCATCCATTGCTAACCGCACACCAAAAGTTGCCCTAAAACAGAACCAGGGTCACATATAGTGACGGAGCAGTCACGATAAACGAAACACTTCTGGCCTCAACGCTCCACATGTCTGTCTGAGTATTTCTGTGTTCGGTATATTTAAGCTCACGTTTCAGCTCATGTCCTGCGGGTGGATGTTTACACTAATGCGAGATGACCTCCACGTTTTCAGTTGAGGGTCATGTTGGCCACACGCCTGCCTGATGCTGCTGCACATTCCCTGGGTTTTTAGGGATTCCTGTTTTAACTGGCAACAACTAAACAAACATCAGCAGGAAAACCAGTCGTCTGCAGAAAGACAAGAATAAAATAAAAGTGTCAGTGCGATGAGACACTTAAGCACCACCGCTGTGTTTTATTGTTGTTTGTCTGTCCTTCTGCAGGGTTACGGAAATACAATCAAACCGATTTTCTAAAAACCTGCTGAGACAAACAGACACAAATATAAGCTCATATTTACATATGGTCTATTTAGAGTCTCCAATTAATGCAACCCCTGTCTGCATGTGGAAAGAAAAATGCAAACTCCACACGGAAAGACTGCAGCCACACCGGGATTCAAACCAAGAACCTTCGAGCTGTGAGGCATCAGCTTTAGATGCAATATTTTATATGTAACGGAAAAATAGCTGAAGGGAAATCAGGTTCTGTTCTGGATCGTCAGAGAATTTCTAAAAAGCCTCTGACTCTTAAATTCAGACCAGACTTCTGAAGACAAAGACGAAGAGTTGCTGTTCAGTAACTGTGTTGTGTGTGTGTGTGTGTGTGTGTGTGTGTGTGTGTGTGTCTGTGCTTGTTTTCTTTATTGCAGCTTAGAAAGCACAGAGGCCTGACATTACAAAGCTCTATTGTCTCTGGGCCAACACTCAGCACTCTGGCAGGTCCGACTCCACTAAAACAGGAGCGGAATCCAAACAAAGACTCAGAGGTCGACTTCTTCCGTGTACCTCTCAACCCAAACCTCCATATTTCAGCTTCAACACACTCGTCTCCCCCCACCTCCACTCATCAGGCCCGTTTCCTGAACCACTGTTTTTTCCCTAAACTGTGGAATCGCCTCACTTTAAAATATCTTTTTAGTGGTTTAATCTATTTAGTGTGAGTGGAAGTGATGATAGTGATATAAACAATAAATACGTTATTATTATTATGATTGATGAAGTATTGTTTCTATCCTCTCATCCCGTTTCTCTCCTTTTCTTTCCTCTTCATATTTTGCTCTTTTTGTTGAACTTGGATCTGTGTTTTTCTGGTCTCACAGTTTTCACACCACTCTCATCAACAACAATATTAACACTGTAGTTGATTGTGTCAGAACTTCCTGTTATTTCTCTCTCTTTTTTTCTTCTTCTGTTTTTTTTTCCCTCACCCTCTTTTTCTCTGCTCATCACAGATCGCCTGATACTTTGCAGCTGTTGACATCAGGAGCTGCTCCCCCTCTCAGATTCACATCGAAGACAATCCCTCCATTTCTCATGTCTGTTCTCAAGTCCTCCTCTCCTCACCCACCTCCCCCTCTCCCCTCGATCTGAGTCGTCTCCTCCGTCCACCGTGCTCCCTCTTCTCTTTTATCTCTCCTCTGTCTCTCAACCCGCCTCTCTTGTCTTATTCATTCTCTTCACATGTGGGACAGGAAATTAATTTCACAATAAAAGATTTCTGTTTTTGTCTAAGCTGCATCACAGACGTTGAGTTTGATGTTCCAGGCGTCGGTTTGAAGGATCACTGTCCTGAAGAATCTCTTTTTCCACCTCCTACTCCTCCATCAAGTGAAACCACAGATGCACATCAATCAATGGAACTCACTGCAGATAGAAGCCTGAGAGCATAAAAAGATGTAGTTTTCATTTCATAAGGTGAACTGAAGGTTTAAGATTTAAAAAATATTCATGTTCATTCTGATTATTTAACATTTTTAGAAAAGTTGTTTTGTTTGTGTGCTTGTTTTAAACATGCTACATAAATAAACTTTGACTTTACACATGTGTGTGTTAATGCTCCACGATGTCATCATAAATCTATGACAGGTGGAGTGACTGAATGTCTTGTCCTGTTGTGCACACATGCATTACACACACTTTCACACACATACACACTATTGTTGCATGCCCAAATGAAAGCCGCAGTGACAAGTGTATTTTTGTCAAGAGCGAGGTCAAGAGGTGCCACGGAGAGAAGAAAGGTAGATGAGACCGACAGGAGCTATTAAGAGATCATGTTTACAGAGCTGAGCAAAGGTCACAGATGATGTCTCTATGTGTGTGTGGGTGTGTGTGTGTGTGTGTGTGTATCATCATGTGCAGGCTCATCTTTCACAATCCAAGTTTCTTCCCCCGATCCCCAACTTTTAGGTCACAGAACAACCCGTAGTAACAACCATATTTAGTTGGAGACGCACAATGACGGGACAGTGTGAGAAGAGCCACTGTGGTTTATTCTTGCAGCTTTCAGTCTGACCTCAGTGTTTTTTCCTGTGTCTTCACTCTGTGTCCTCAGACTGGTGAACCTCTTTCTGGTTTTCTTCTAGTTTTTCTCAGATTGAATTTTGCATATCTTTTGTCAGGCAGCCTCCAATTCCCCATTTCTTCCCAGACCTCTGCAAACTTATCGCAGATGAACTTGTAGCAGGATGTTGCTGTTGGCTTCAGCTCCATCCATCATTATTGAGCTATTCAAGCTTCTGTAGTCCAGCCTCCTCCTCTTCCTCCTCCTCTTCATCTTCCTCCACTTGTCAGCAGCAGCTCAGAGCCTCCACATGTCTGAGGGGAAACGTACGGTGCAGCCCGAAGAGGATGAAAACAGAGGGAGAAGGTGGTGAAGTTGTTTCTCTGCGGAATCTGCTCGTCTTGAGTTTACTCTCAGGTGAGGGTTTGTAAATCACTTCGTGTGACGCATGTTTCGTAAGATCTGGAAACTGCTCATGTGAAATCAACAGCAACAGATAATCATGTTAACTTTCAATCACTACTCTGTCCTACTTTCATTCTTTCTTCTAGAATAGTTCTGCGTAAAAGTACATCGGGAGTCTCATCGTGGGTCTTTTACGCGCGTCTTTTACGCGTCTCTTTGCGATTTACGAATCTATGTGTTTGTAATTACTGTGCAAATACTCGCTTAAGTGTTAGCTCACGTTTCTCTTGGGCACTTAAATGGTGTAGACAAAGAAAAGAAAAGTTATAGAAGCTGTGATTGTCTCGGCAATTTACTTGTAAAGCGCATTAATACACAGGAGGTCACTCAGTGTGCGTTACAGAAAAACAAATATTATAGAAGCATAGATTAAAAAACAGGTAACCTCTAAAGGGCAAGATTAAGTGATTCAATGAATGGGAGATTTTGAAAGCAGGTTATTGTTGGAGTTTTTGGAGCTGGTTCCTGCAGTGGCACCACAGTGGCTGAATGCCATTTTAGTTTTAAAGTTGGGCACCAGAGCTGAGCACCTCCTGCAGCTCCTGCAGATCTGAGAGACACATTGTGTCTTGTAGATGATAATGAGGACTTTCAATTCACCCTGAAGCTGAATGGATTCCAGTATAAAGACTTGAGGATTAAAATAATTCAATGCATGTGTGAGCTCTATATTACATCTGCAATACGAGATTAAGAGGCCAAACTCGGTGCTCATATTTAAGTCAAGAGACAGCATCGTTATTCCAGAAGAAATATGTGAAAGGGAAAGAGACGAGTAGAAAACAAGCTGTGTCGTCGTGACTGAAAAAGTTTTTCCAAATGCGGCAATTTGGAAGCAGTCGCTCAAAATCAATTGGTCACTATGCTTCTCTGGTGAAACCACAGAACAACTGTTTCAGAGATCAGATCAGTGGGTTGTCCGACTGTCAAGGAGGTGACGTCATGGGGAGAGACTGTCCTTTACCCATCCCAACATCTGGGTGGCTTCAGCTGCACTGTGGGTCTGACTTCTGTCCTGTCTGGATCATTTCAAACACAGACACAGTTTATACGATTCACTTTGAAGAATAGCTTGAAAAAGATATCAACCAAATTAAAAGTAATGAAAACGCTCATTGCATCTGTGCAGGTCACAGAGGCCGCGGCGTCCACCCCGACACTTTGCAGCTTCTCCTTTGAACAACCACTTCTATGTTTCATTAACTTCACCTCCCTGTGTGCGTTTGCTTGGTGGAGGTTTGGAGAGGTTACGTTTCCCTATGCTCTTTGTTCAGCACAGCTTTTGAAAGGAATGAGATATGTTTGCACTTCACTGCTGCTTGGCCTAGTTTCCCCTTTGCACTGTTGAGAGAATTTATGAAACCAGTGGATGAGGGCAGACCACAAAGATTAATTAGTTTGCTTCGAAATCTTTCACGTCGTAAGAGTCTTGGAGTTATCTGAAAAGTTCTAATGTGCAGTGAAATCTTATCTGGAATGTTCCCTGTGTGAGTTATTCTGTTGACTCTGCTGAACATTAAGGAAAGTGTGGGAGTTAAGGATAAAGGTAATTTACAAGTCACTGAGCTCATATCTGTTCTCAAACAACCGTTCACACTCATGGCCAATCAAGAGTCTCCAATTAACCTCAACCAATCTGCTTGACTTTGAACTGTGGGAGGTGAGAACATGCAAATTCCACCCACAGAGGCCGGGATTCGAACCAGGAACCTAAATAATCACAGTCACATCCTTGCCATGTGGAGCGGGCAGGCCTCGGCGTGCTTTGCCACGTTGCAGCAGCGGAGCCTTTAAACTGCGAGTGCATGTTGTGTTTTGGAGCCGTTTATAATGGTCAGGGTGTTCCGACCTCAACCACAGTTTTGCTGGTGCCGCGCTGAAAAAAGGACTGTGGCCCTCTGGTCCAATGGAGGGAACAACCTCAGAGCTGAGCCACTGCAGCACGGCATTGTGTACTTTTGTCTTTTTGTCCTCGTTAGGTCCTTATAGCATAAACACAGACGCTGTAAGTTAGAGTGGACCTTACGGGGACCAAAGCTCAGTCCTAATGATGCAAGACGTGTTCTCTGAGGTGCTGGTTAACCTCAGTCAGAAGATGTGAATTGTGGTTAGTTTAAGGTTTGATTTAGGCGTGAACTGTTCACGGTTAAAGTTAGGGAGAAGGTTTCGGTTCAGTGTGTGTGTGGAGACGTTCATGTTCACATGTATCAGCTCACACATGATTGAGCACCATCACCAGTGCCACCGGAGCCCGATCCTATAATTTGTGGTGTCTTGGCTCCAGATGTTTCACAGAGTCTGAATCTTCTCTCAGCAGGGAAGAGAGAGAGATAGAGAGAGAGAGAGAGAAGGAAATCATGTTTTACTCTGTGTGTTTAGACAGAGAGATAAAAGCCTGATTGAAGGATGAGCCAGAAATAGAAGTTTGGAGGGAAAAACACATAAAAACCGGAGGTAAAAATGTGTTTCTCATCAGTGTCCACAGATCCTTTATTCGATGGCCATAAGAAATGGCGTCCGGTCTGATCTCCCCATCGCACGCTGTTCCGTTTACATCTGTCTCTGCAATCAGTCGACCTGCTCACGCGAAACATTCTTGTTTGTGGACGTCTACAGGTACAGTCTACTGATAAATAACAAGTTCAGCAGATCTAAACCTCTTTTTTCCTTGTGCATCTAACGAGGCCAAGTTTCTGTGACACTTTAATGTGCACGGAGAGGTTCGAGTTGAACCGCATTTACTGCTCACGAAGAAACCCGTATAAAAAGGCCGATGTGGGGGGTGAAAGAAATTGGCAGATGTAAAAGTAGAGAACATGTAAATTACACCATGAAAAGCTGTGACATCAAACAGGACAGATTCAAGAAAAACATGCATATCAGGGATTTAGGGATGAAACTGTATCTAAAGAGAAATTAAACACAGGTTCTGAAAGGATCTGAATATAAACAAAGTTGCTGTCATCACACACAGTGAACATTTGTGTCCCTGCTCTTGTTTATCTGTCTCTCACCTTCTCGTGCCCCACAGGCCTTAATCGCTCCTTTAAGCCAAGTGTTACGAGTGGAGGGATCAGCAGGCGACAGCCACAGTCCAGCCCCACCTCCTCTATATTCAACGCCACCTCTAAGTTGATTACTCCGGCTGTCGCACACCCGCACCTTCATCGTATCCTCCTCTCCGTCAGGTTAGACGGTGAGTGACGGCCACCCCCGGACATTTGCCCTGGAACTGTTGAAAAACTGGGATTAGTTGACAGATTTACTGAAGGTAATCTGAGCCGGGGACGGTGCCCGTGCAGGAAGAGTGGCACCACATTACCTTGCTCAGGTTGTTATATCACACGTCCAGATGGCCGCGGCCTTGGCGAGTGTCTCCAGCAGCCTGTGACATTAATCCAGCCCTGGCTGCGGTTTGAGAGAGGTCACATGTTTGGTGCTTACTGGTGCTCCCTTGGACCAATGACCAAACTTGGTGGAAGGATGCAATGTGCAAGCAGACCCAGGATTTTAGTTTTTCACTTTCTTTCACTTTTTAAATCTGGATTTAGTGAATTTTTAACTGTTGGGCCTTGTTTGTTGGTTAATTAGAAGGATTACCCCAAAACAACTGAGCCAATGTCCATGAACTCTCGTGGGGGGAAGAAGAACCCTTGAAATCTTGGAGCAGATGCGATGCTGTGATATGTTCTCTCACAGCTCCTCTAGTTATCGATTATTGATCTTTTTATATATTTTTGATAAACCAAGAATGAATATTCACTATATGAATCAGACGTAGAAAGAAGCAGTGGAGTCAAGTTTTATTTGACATGTTCGTCCTCCTGAGAAGCTGCTGACTCCTCTGCAACAGAGAGAGAGAGAGAAAACATCCCCACCATCAGTCAATCCCACATTTTAAGATGCCTGACACATTAATGTGCTCCTGAACGCTCCAGCTTCAGTCTTTGGTCCAGTGTGTAACTCACATCTCTGTCCCTTTCTCCCCGTTCTCTCTTAGCTGGCCTCAAGTGAACTGAAAGAAAAGAGGAGAAACACAGAAGCCCCCTCCCCGTGGACGCCATTGGAGAACTAAGTGGATTGAAGAGGGCAGAGAGCAAGTGAGGGAGTCAGGCGAGGGCGGGAGGGGGGCAGAGGAGATTATCAGATAATCCAGAGCGTGGACAATCCTGAAGGAGCCTCGTTGCTCTTCCAGGCTGATGCAGACAAAACAGTTACTGGATTACGCCTCTCAGCTTTATCAGCCTTTTCAAGAAAGCGTCGTTCTCCTTTTTCCTTCGCTCTGATTGTTTTCTCTGACTGTCGGAGGTCTGGTGTCGGAACCGAGGGGACGGAGGACAAAGAAGTTTGGCGACAGAGCTGGTGTGGTCTACAGGCAGCGTGGTGCACACATGGATAAATCTCTTTAGAGCGAGACGGTGCATAGTGGTGGACCCCCCCCACCAACCCTGTCTCCTGTCCCTCCCTCCCTCCCTCTCTCTCTCTAGCTCTCTCTTCCTGAACTTTGAGGAAGAACAAGTCAACGGATGAGACACACACACGATCCTGTCAGACGCTGTTGAACACACACAGAAAGGAGCCACGTCCAGTAAGCAGCACTGTGTTGACACTCGTCTTGTGTTTGTGTTTCACTTCTATTAAAAGGTTCTTGAAGGTAAAAAGGAGAAGACAGTGAAAATGAACCAAACATTTTTCATTAATGTTTTGTTGCATCCCTGCAGCTGCACACTTATATATCACAGAGTCAACGAGTTTCCAGTCTTTACGATTCTGTTCGTTTACCAGGTTCAGATAAATGAAGCACACTTTGTTTTCACAAGGCTTCCTGCAGAGGAGATCCTCTTAGACTGACAGCTACACATCTCTGCATGTCCAAAAAGACGTAAATCAAGTGAATGCAGCGTAAACCTCAGTCTGCTCCCTCGCTTTTCTTACGTCTCGATGTATTTTCGGTGTAAACTGTCATCTGCCACAAAACTCTCCGGCTGCCACAGGAGACGGACCTTGTAATTCATCTTGTTTGTTATTTTGACTGAAGGCCGTTGCTGTGCAGGAGACGTGAGTCGATTGTTGGACAGACACACAGATGTAGCTGTGCAGAAGAGGGACAGAGCCGAATGAGAAAGAGATGCAGACTGGGACTCTACATCCGTCTTTCAGTGTAGATCCAGGGGAAGCGTTGACTGATAAATCGTTGGCTCTGGTCGTGTGGACGATGGATTATTCATACATTCTCTGAACACTGAACAGCCACATATTTGTGTTGCATGTCCTCACTGTCCTGGCATCTTCATTTTTTCTTTCTCTCTCCCTCTGGTTTTACAGTGGACCCCTGTACTGGAGTTCAACTCTGACTGACATGCACCCACACTCCCATTTGAATTAAAGGGAAATTCCACAACTTCTCTGCGGCCATGAGTCTGGGAAAACTGCCAGGGATGAAGGGCCTTGTGTCTGGCTCGCAGGGGAAACGCCGGTTCAAGAGCGACCTCTCTGTGGACATGATCAGCCCTCCAATGGGCGACTTCCGACACACGATGCATGTTGGCCGCGGCGGGGACGTGTTTGGTGACACTTCCTTCCTTAGTAACTACGGGGGCGTCAGGGAGCCTGGAAGTCCAGATTCCACAAGCAGCTCCAAGACGACCGGTTTCTTCACACGCACCTTCAAGCACGTACGGAAAAACTCCGTGCCACGGCCGCGAGGGGGCTCCCGGGATTTATCCCCGCCGCCAGACGTCTCACCCATCATCAAGAACGCCATCTCCCTGCCCCAGCTCAACATGGACTCCCCCAATGGGTGCATGCAGAGGATGATGTTCCCCAGCTCTGTCAGCGCAACAGAGGACTCCCTCTGCACTTATGGTGAGATTTCACTTCCAGCATTTCTGTAAAGCATCTGAGCGGCAACATCGTCTTCATTAAAAGTAAGAGATTGTGGGTTTTATAAGATCTTTATCTGACAAACCAGTGAGTTTACAAGTTAAAAGGAAACCTGAGAAAAATGAGCTCAATTCAATCAGGAAATTGGCCGATGTCCAAGTCTGTATTTTGAATCACTCCTCAACAAACAGCTCGAAGCATTTCAAAAGATTCATTCCAGCGTTCATTGGGATTCTGTCCCGAAAGGTCATCGCGTGTTCGATCAGAGCAACAAGGCTTCGTGATCGTTCTCGAGTATTTTAGAATATGGACACGTTTTCATTTGATTACACACAAAGTCAATCTTTCATTATTGTGTAAAGCCTTTTAATAATCAGTCCTGACTCATGATTTCGAAAAAGATCTCATATGTTTAATAATTTAGAACCATATTTAGAGACTGACCAGATATAATTTCTTTATCATAGCTGAAGAAATCTATCAAGATGAATTATTCTCTGAGAATCTGTGAAATCTTCAAAAATGTTCCTCCAAGACACAAACATGACCTCCACTCGTTTAACATTAAATCAAATGTTTTGTTTCTGATGTGACATGTGGAGATTTTTGAGGAGGTGTTCTGCAGACTACAGCGAGTACTCTTTCTCTTTTTGTTCATCTTTTGGTTCCATTGGCCTCCTTATGGTCCATTGGTACAGAAACAATGTGTTAGTCTCCACCAGGAAAACAAAGACGCCCTGGTGCAATGATACATCGTCCCTGTTCTTACTGTTCACTCTCCTGCAGACAAACAACATTAAGAGCTGCTGAAAAGAGTCGACTATAAACGTCCAGCGACACATAAATAGAGCGGGTGATCTTTCCCACATTCCTCCAGGACGACCAGCAAACACACGGCTTCTTCTGAGTCATCTGGAATCACCTAGGCAACACCTGTACACAATTAGGTCGACACACACAAACACACACAGCTGGTTTGAGATAGAGAAAGATACTTAGTGGGCATTTCCTGTCGTCTCTCTGTGCACGTGCAGCCGCCTGGATGCACAGCATAAATGCACCATTCGTTTTAATCTGTGGATCAATCAGAGTTATGAAGCCGCCGTGTGCTGGAAATCCCCCCTAACCCGTCTCCGGAGTCTTTACCTAACTCATGAGGAATTTGCATCAGTGAAGTGAGGCAGGATGTTGGATGCCAGCGGGTTTCGCCGTTTGCCACATGTGTCATTATGTCATTCCCGCCCACGTTTTCACAGACTGCTCATCGCGGTGCAGATTTCAGTCTTGGAATGTCGGCCACAAATGAGTGAATTCCAAAACTAGGTCAACTGTGGGTATATATGTGATATTAGTTTTTTTAATTTCATCAAATGTTTAGTATTGAGATTACAGTATCACAAAGAAAATAAGTAAGTAATACAGTACTTTAATACTTCAAGTACAGATATTTACTTCCACTAAGCATGTTGAGTTTTTGTTTTTAATTTTGCAATAAAGGGACGAATGTGGAGGTTGTGTCATGCCCAAGAGAAAAACACCAAAAAGTAGAAGGGAGAGCGGAGCACAAACCTCCAAGGCCCAACAGTCAATTCAATCAAGCTGCACCAATTATCACTCACTCACCTCTAGATACAAGTTCTCTCAACATGTCGGATTCTTTGCTTCTAAATCGATGAATTCTTCTCTGAGGAAAGGATGAAACTGTCTTGGCTCGTGTTCCTCAGGTGGTTTCTGTCTGATTCTGCTGACAAACAACAAACAAACAAACATCAGCTGATTGGCAGAGGTAATGATTACTTCAGGGTTCTCACGTACTGCCATCTTCTGGTGGAGCAGGTGAATTGCTGGCATTACAAGCCTCCTCATCAGCTCTGTATCATTTTCTCTTCATCAGTTTCTTTCTGCGTCGGAACTTTGTAGAATTTTGATGATGATCAAGTGACATAAACCAAGGAATTAGATTTTACAGTGTCTTCTGTCGTGCAGCTCCATCAACACCAACAACAATCAGACACTGTGGTCACTGGAGTCGTCCAACGTTAATTCTGTTTTCACTCAGATTTTTACTTTAAATCCAACATGTCCAGTAAACATCCCTGTACCCACGTCGGTGTCACTCTTGTTTTAAATCACATTGATGTGTTTGAGATGTTGTCTCCATGTTTTATTATTAGTTCGGTTGACTTTAGTGATGTAAGTGTGTTTGTTTGATTCCAGGTCTTCAGTCTGGATTCGTCACTCTGCCCCGCCTCCCTCGCTTCGACAGACAGTTTCAGGACGGAGACGTGCAGAGAGGGTCTCTAACAGACGGCGGCGGCGGCAGCACCATGACTCGCTCGGACTCCCTGGCCTCGTTCACCGTAGACCTCGGACCTTCTCTCATGACTGAGGTGCTCAGCTTGATTGACAACCCCCGCTGCCTCCAGATGTCCAACCACAGCCAGGCAGCAGATGAGGAAGATGAGGAAGCAGAAGAGGAAGATGAGGACTCTCTAACAGAGACGCCTGTGCAGAGCCCTGAGATGACTTCACCCAACCCGTCCATGAGCAGCGGGTCGTTCAGCAGGACGATGTACAGCAGAGGACGGTCATGCAGCTCTAACAGGGACGAGCCAGAGGAGGACAGGAGGTCTCTGGGGACGCCAGACAGGTCCACTGGGTCTCCACAGAGAGTGGAGTCTCTCATGGAGGCAGAAAAGTTCCAGAGGGCAGCGGACGTGCTCTCTCGTCATTACGGCGGAGGGTCCTTCTCGAAGGGGACGAGGATGAGCAGCAGCACCCCCTCACCTGCTCTCTCCTGCAGCCGCAAAACACCGTACAGCTTCCCTGAGGAAGAGGAGGAGATAAAAGTGTAGATGTTGAAATTCAAACTAAACGTTCATCCAACGGAATCGTGGAAAACATTGAGGGATCTGAGGGTTCTTGTAAAGTCAGACAGGTTTGTATGATGTTCTGTTCTTCCTCTGCAGAAGCATCCCTCCTCCTCCTCCTCCTCTTCCTCTTCCTCCTCTTCTCACACGCACCGTCGATCAGCTTCCAGATCCTGGTCTGTGTTCAGTTTCTGCAGGAGGAAGGTTTTCATCATGGACCTGGATCCTGGACGTTCTCCGCTCTCTGCTCAACACACCAGTTGGGAAATGATCCAGATTATTTATAGCAGAAACTTTGTTACATGGTTTGAGTCATAGAATGAATGAATCCATGAGGACGCTCTGAAGAACAGTGGGTTTTGAAAGACTACTTGTTTGTGCTCAGCTGATCAACACCTAACACCACATGAAACACGATTTACACGAACAAAGATCACAGCATTTTGACTCTTTTTTCATATTAATGTTGTAAACGTCTGCGTACGTTGTAAATAAATTCACTGTCATAGGAAATAAAAGGTTTTTTTTACAGTTGCAGCTGTTATATACTTTTTGTTCATCAAACATTTAGAATTATAATTGTTTTACTTGAACACTGTTGTCTCACATTTCATGATAATCCAACATATGAAGCTGTTTTTAATATTTTATAATCCATCACAAAATAACAAACACAATATTCCAGTGGCTTCTTTTGTTTTCACTTTATTTGAAGTATTTGAAAGCAGCATCATTTTAGGTTGTGCCGTATGTAAGCGACACCATTTCAAATAAACAGTGGTGACGGAAGAACCCAAACTTAAGAACACTTTTGTATTTAATTCATATACAGTGAAGTAGAAAACTGAGAAAACAGAAACATTCTTTGTAGTTTATTAAAAGTCTTTAATCATTTATTGTTTTCGACCAAACTGAGGGACACAGCATGCAGGAGCTGCAGCAGCTGGGTCTATTGGCTGAGCTTTAAGCACATCAGTTTGATGTCTCCAGTGACTCTGATGAAGTTGAAGACGCCCATGCCAACACGGTTAGGGAACTGGACTTCATTTCCGTCAGCGAGTTCCACCTCAAACATGTCTCCGGCCAACTTCAACACGATCTGAGATAGAGAAGATGTTTCATATTTTAGCTCTGAGGCAGATGTTTCAAAACCAAGTGAGACTCAAACTCAAACACAGCTTGAGGTGAGAGATGAAACCCAGTCAACAGATCCTCATCAAACATTTCACAGAACTTTCCACACTGATCTTTTCTTTTCCCTCACCTTAATTTCTGCACCTCTCTGCCAGGGGTTGTGTAGATCCCGTTGCTCGTCGCCCCAACAGCCGTCAGACTTGGAGTTGCACACAAGCACAGATCCATCGCTGTCGTCGTGGAACCGAGGGTTGAAGTGCAGCGCCAGGTTCTCTTCATCGCTGCCGAGGTCGATCTGGAATCTGAGTTCAGACAAGAAATGTAGGTAAATCCAGATGTTTGCAGAGATTGGAACACACATGTATTCACAGGGATTTTAAAGATTGTTATACAGGCATTGGGTTAGGTTACCTGTCAGCATCATGCAGAATTATTCCTTTTATTTTCAGCTGATCTCCAGTTTGCAGATTCACATTCTTCAGTTCAAGTTGCTGGTGTTCAGAGTTTAAAACAAGTTATTTAGAAAATGAGACGTCAAACACTGATATGTGCCAACACATCACGAACTACAGGCCTCAGTCCAGTGAGATAAAAACTTACCAAGCTCATGTTGGGTCCTGGTGTGTGTGAAGAGTCCTGGAGCTTCAGTGGAAGATGAAGGAGGTTGGTTCAGTCTTGAGGCCCCGAGGACAAGAAAAAGGAAAATGTGTGATTATAAAGTTTCTCCTCTTATATAATGTAAAGGCTCAAAGTGACTCAGTCATCATCATCATCACAATCTCGTCTTACGAACAAGATCAACTGTCTCTTTAATCAATCTTCAAACGAGTGAGATTTAGATCAGGTGGTGAGGAGGGTCAGGACACTGTTGATTACATCAGAGGGACACAAACACCCAACAGACGTGTCCGCTCAGTCTGTGGTCACCGCTAAGTTTAATTTCATTACCCCTGAAACTCAAACACTTTTCACCCAGCGATCCGTCGGCATAGAGGTGAGGAGATAATGAGTGACTTTTTATTTAAGCGTGAACTTTCCCTTTAAGATAAAGAACAGACATGGAAACACTGGAGTATTTATTTTTACCCTGTAACCAATACAACGGAATAGAATGTAGTGACACTCCTCTCCAGGCGAGGGCGGTAGTGCTTCAAAAAAAAAAGTTGTTTGCTAAACGCCATTAATCACAACAGAAGAAGAACAACAACGCAAAACAACTTCCGCTGCGCTGCCGGAAGTGACAAAATAAAGTAAACAGAGCGGCTGTCAATGGCCTCGGACTTTCACACAGTTCAAGAATAAAGGGACAGAAATAAATCTTTTTTTACTTTTTATTCATATTAACAGACGTTTTTATGAGAAACTGGTGTGAACACTAACGAAGGTAAATCGTGTGATGACGTTTCGAAAAAAAGTGGAACCTGCTATTAGCCCTAGCAGCTAGCAGCGAATTAGCCAGCGTTAGCAAGCTCTTCTCCTGTCGATCGCTCCCGTTGAGTGGATCTGTATAAATATCACAGTTTGTTTCAGCGATGTCAGCGCAGTCACTTTACTTTACGCTGATTCAGACTCATTCTACAGGTTGACCACGGGTAGTTAGCACAGGCTGCTAGCTACCAGCTGTTAGTTCACCTGCTGCAGCAGCTGGCGTCTCCTCCTCCTGCTCCTCCTGTGTCTGACTCCTGATGAAGCACAATGACCTGCTTCCTTTTTTCCAGCACTTTCCCTCAGGATGATCGGACTCGACTCTCACTTGAAATCCCTGTTTATGTCAGCGGTTGCTCGTCTCATCGGTCACACTGTGTTTGGTGTTTTCACCCACAGGGACAGGAGTGACTCTGCCCTGCGATGTTCACAGACATGGACTATGAATTGGAAGAGGACAAGCTGTGAGTGTTCACTTTTTAATGATCTCAGCCGTTCAAGCAAGTCACTGTTTTAAAAGCTAATTGAATCCTTGAATCATCTCTTCACACATGGTGTTATTATTTTGTTTGCAGTATATTTCTTTCTTTATTTGCTATTTTTTTATTCCTATTATTGTTTTCATTATATATAATAGTTACGGTCAGTGTGATGTAACTGCTGGTTGTTTCGATAAAGAATAATTAAGAGTTGTATATTATAAGTCTTTGCTTATTAGAATTGTCCAAGAACAGTGTCACATAAATGCTGCAGATCTCAGTGTGTAATCTTTTCTCCTGAACAGTGGGATACCAACAGTACCTGGCACTGTGTGTCTGAAGAAAGATGCTAACAACCTGATTGGCATCAGCATTGGTGGTGGGGCACAGTACTGTCCTTGCCTCTACATTGTCCAGGTAGGTACAGAGCACGTTCAAAAACCAGCATGTTTTTAAATCTGACAGAATATTTCTGTAATGTTTCAAGTTTTATAATATTTGATTATGTCAGATACTCTTCGTTATTGGTACCTTTTTAAATGTGGCTTCTGTCGTCTCTCACAGGTCTTTGATAACACTCCAGCAGCTCTGGAGGGGACGCTGGCAGCAGGCGATGAAATCACAGGTGTGAACGGGAAACCAGTTAAGGGGAAGACTAAAGTGGAGGTGGCCAAGATGATTCAAGTTGTCCAGGTACTCAAGCTCTGGGGATTACAGTTCATAGTTATCGATTGTCCTGAACACCGTTAGTATACAGTCAGATGGATTATTATTTATTTCTTCTGCAATTCTGTGGATCCAGTCTAGACCTTGATCAGCTCTATAAATACCTTTCAGTAATTGATAGTATGTGAAGGTATGTGAACAATACGTAAATAAATATAGGCTCTACATAAGAAATATGTCTTTGGGTCAGTTTAACCAATTAAACTAGAAACTAGAAACATTCAAATCAATAAAAAATTACTCACATTTTTTCGTATCCAACTCTGGTCGTAGATTTATCAATAGTCAAACACTTTACTAAATTCGAGTGCACACCCGCCACTGGACTGTGGAGAGAAGGGACTGAACTGTCTTGCTAAGCGATGCAGAAGAGCTCATGATAATAGCCGGCAGCATTCAGCATGGCGTCACCAGCACAGACCGCCTGTGTTGTTTTAGCAGCCATTGTTCACACCGTCAAAAATTCCCTGACTTCCTGCACGACGGATTAAAGAGAGAGTTCAGTGTGGGAATTAAAGGATTAGATTGTGTTGCTGTTGCCCCGTCATTCCAAATACTGCATGTGAATTTCACCCACGGTGTCATGGCGCTGGAAAAGCACAGTATTCATTTCAATCATTTATTATATTTATGAAATTAAATACGTGTCTGATTTATTTGTTGTTGTTTATGTAACTGTGTGTCAGGGAGAAGCAACGATTCACTACAACAAACTGCAGGCAGATCCAAAACAGGGGAAGTCTCTGGATATAGGTATCTCCTCCAAAACACACATACTCACTTTTAGTCCCTAACATTACTTTCTGTGTTTTGTAGTTTCATGTATTGTATTGCAGTGCTTTGGATAAACATACATATAACACATACATTGTGTGTTTCAGTGCTGAAAAAGGTCAAACATCGGCTGGTAGAGAATATGAGCTCAGGCACAGCAGACGCTCTGGGACTCAGCAGAGCGATTCTCTGCAACGGTGAGATTATTATCCCGATCATTAAGAGTGTTTTCACATAGATTGAGATAAATTACACTAATGCTTATGTAAATGAATGTTACCTTTGCAGATGGACTGGTTAAAAGACTGGAAGAGCTGGAGAAAACAGCAGAGCTCTACAAAGGTGAAGAATAATGTGATAACTCCCACTCTGACATCAGTTATTCCAGAATCATCGTTGTTTACGTTTTTCCTGTGTTGGACTGCAGGGCTGATGGAGCACACAAAGAGGCTGCTCAGAGCTTTTTTTGAGCTTTCTCAGACTCACAGAGGTGAGTTACACTGATCACAATCAGAAAAGACAGATCTTTCTTGTAGATATTATCTCAGTACTAGTGTCTAATATATCAGATTTGTATTTGATTACATGTCTTTTCAGCTTTCGGTGACGTTTTCTCTGTCATCGGCGTTCGAGAGCCTCAGGCTGCAGCCAGCGAGGCGTTTGTGAAGTTTGCAGATGCTCATCGCAACATTGAGAAATATGGAATTCAGCTGCTAAAGACCATTAAACCCGTGAGTTCAGTTTAGAGGTTGGATCTGAAGCATTTTACTGAAAACTACCAGGTGTCTCAAAGAGGAAAATTATTTTAGAATTTAATGTTCACATTTTTTAATCCAGTTATATTTGATCAAACATTATTAACAATTCAAGCACAAAAATAATATAAAATATTACAAGTGTGTTACTTTAAGAGTTAATCCAACACTTCCTCATGTCTCGTTGAACAGATGCTCCATGACCTGAACACGTACCTTCACAAGGCCATACCTGACACAAAGCTCACCATCCGCAAGTACCTGGATGTGAAGTTTGAGTATCTGGTAAAGCCACAGCTCTGTTCTTCTGGTTCAGTGTACGACTCAGCAAATCATTCAATTATTAAACACGGCTCCCGTCACTCAACTGAATAATTCAACTCATTTCTTGTCTCTTTCAGTCATACTGTCTGAAGGTGAAGGAAATGGACGATGAGGAATACAGCAGTATTGTGAGTATAAAATATTCAGTCATATTTAGATGTGACTGTACAGATTTGAGGCTCGGGACCAAACCCCTGCATCGGCTCATTTTCTGCAGACTGTTACACACGGGAAGTTATCAATGAACTGTTAAAGCCACAAAACCCGGACTGAGCTTATGATCTGTGTCATTTAGGTTTTTTTATGTTCTCAAATGTGATGTGAATAATGTGCTTGTTTCTACAGGCCATGGGAGAGCCCATGTATCGTGTGAGTACCGGTAACTACGAGTACCGCCTGGTGCTGCGGTGTCGGCAGGAGGCCCGGGCCCGCTTCGCCAAAATGAGGAAGGACGTTCTGGAGAAGATAGAGCTGCTGGATCAGAAACATGGTCTGTTATCACGTCAGGATGTATCACCATAGTATGAGAAAGACATAATTTTTAGATTTAGATTTAGATTTCCTTTATTGTCCCTCAGTGGGGAAATTCACATGTTACAGCAGTAGCACAAGATTTAACTCCAAAGAGAGGACGGACAAACAAACAAACAAACAAACAAGCAAACAGAAACATACTATCATACAAACCTATTTTTTGCCAGGATAATCATAGTATGACGTTTTTACATTGGCACAAATACACCATTAAAATGTATGGTTAGTAAATTACAGCTGATACAGTCTCTTTTAACACCGATCACCTTTTCTTTCCTTCACTCCTCCTGCCTCCACAGTCCAGGACATAGTGTTCCAGCTGCAGCGCTTCGTCTCCGGCATGTCGCATTACTACGACGAGTGCTACGCTGTTCTGAAGGAGGCGGACGTGTTCCCCATCGAAGTGGACCTGTCCCGCACCATGATCAACTACAGCACCCAGTCGTTGTCCTACACGGAAGACGAAGAGGAGGACGAGGACGGAAGAGGAAGAGAGGAAGGAGGAGGCAGCGCAGGCGGTCAAACGGAGAACGGCGCAGAGAAACTGGTCGATGACGAATGAGTGTGTTTTTGTGAGTGTGCGTGTTCTTGTGGAGATGAAGTAACATTTTACAGTCACCCAGCAGTGATCTTTGCAGTGCAATATGGCAGCAAGAATGGTTAGAAGTGTTTTGGAAAGGTGAATACTACTGAAAATAGCTGTTATCATGTGGCAGGCGTGTCTGTTGGTGTTATCATAACGAAATTTAATTCTCAACTTTCTCCTTTGCTTTTTAACTGTCTTTCACAAAACAAGGTCAAACAGAATGAAACTTCATCTGAAGCTGTGGACGGGTTTTCATGCTGCAGAGTAGGAACCGTATGAGTTGTGCCTTCGTAGCTCTTAGTTTAATGAAGTTTAATGGTTCTGGGCTGTTATACTTTAACATTTTGATTTATTTTTTACAGCAACAAAGTTAGTGGGATTCATTTAGCTACAAAGTAAAATATTATTTTGCGGTAAATAGCGTCACAAGAAAGAAATTATTTTCTCCTCACCATAACAAAAACTGGCAAATGTTCGTGGCTGTCGCAGACATGACGTCGTTGTGGATTAGAGGATACAAACACTACATGTAAATAACCCTAACACAAAGGCTATAAAATCACTAATGTTGTATTTTCTCTTTTGTCATTCCAACTTTATTTATTCAATTTTTCAAAATGTACTTTAAAGTTCTAAAGGGAAATATGGATTCTATATCACAGTTAATATAATTATTCAATCGTGTCTTTTATTTTCGTCATCTTCTGAGGATTGAGATGATTTTGTGCATTTCATGATTCACTGTGTAGTTAGAGGCGATCACTTGGGGGCAGCATCACATCAGACCACCCTGATCTGCAGTCAGCAAATAGTGCACTTACATTCAGTGAAGGTTTCAAGAGGATTGTGTTTCATGTATGGTTTTGTTTTTCTGCATAACTGGAAAGAAATGCATCAAAGGGACCTAGTGTGTGTTGTTGTCTTCTGTTGCACAGGTCGGCTCATAAACAGAAAAAGCTGATTTGTTTTGTACCACAAATAAATTAACAATAACTTAAATGTTTGTTGTCTATTTGATAATGATGTAATTGTCCTTTATTTCCAACTATCTGAACATTTCTATCTTGGTTATGTGTCATTGACTGAGGAAAATGTTTTATAAAATAACACACACATACACAGGTCTGTGCTGTTATCCTTATTAGGACTCAGTGTAGTGTCTCTAACTCTGCGTTGTGTTGTGAGCGAGGTAACGACACACTCCAAGGGAAGTATCCTCGAACGATTTATTACAACCGCAGCAGCAGCATCTGTGATTGTGGAGGCAAAGTCTGTTTGTGAACACTGTGCACTCAGCACCTTCTCAAGGAAAGAGAATAAAGAGTAAATCAAATAATTGAAATGAATAAAATGAAATAATTAAAGAAATACCATTTACATAAATGAACTAATCTCACACACTATGTTGGCCAGTAGAAAAACAACACACGTTTAAACCCACATACCTGTAACGTGCACAGCAGCTCCACAACACACACATGTGCAGACACGCCTCTTCTCCAGGTTTACACATGAGCAGTAATAAATGACGACACAAAAAAACCCCATTACACGTCACCAGTATCATAACGTCACTTGCACAACAAACTCACAGAAGAAGTGAGAGTAAAGAAAACGTGCACCTGCTCAACAAGAGTCCGAGGGAAAGAGGAAGTGACTTCACGGAAGCACAGGAAATACAGTATTCTAAATCAGACGCCGGCGCTCTGCTTCCGGTAACACTGCCTACTATTTTACCGCTTGAGAAGACGAATACACTTTGTCCAATACTCAACCTACTTATCAACACAACTACCAGAGAACACATCAACACAAACTCAACGACAGCGAGGAAACAAAACAACCACAACAACAGAAGTGGCGATCCGCACTTTTCAAAATAAAACTAATGTGTTACTTTAAATCAATACTATACCACATTGTGTTCTACTGAGCCCCAGTGGCCTAATGGATAAGGCACTGGCCTCCTAAGCCAGGGATTGTGGGTTCGAGTCCCATCTGGGGTGAAGCGTTTTTTATCTCTCCGACAAACCTGCTGTGATCTTTTAGGGAAGTGACCATATAACCACAGCGTCACTGTCCCACGTGACCATACACAACCACAGGTAACCTTATACGACCACAAATAACCACCGTGTCCCTGCAGCCAATCAGGACCCGCTCCTCCTCCTCTTCCTCCTCCGCTTCCTCAGAAATCAACTCCTCCTCGGGACGAGACGACTCGTCTCACTCCTGCAGCACGGTGTCTCCTGTCCTCGCCTTCTACCTCTCAGCTGCCGCCTCCTGCCGCCTCCACCGCGGCGGCCATGCCTCCAGTCGGCAGTGCGTGTGTTCTCCTCCTGCTCACAGCGAGCCTCTGCTCCGCAGACAGTAAGTAGGTCGAGTCCCGGTGAAGTGGTTGTTCTGTCAGGACTCTCTGTGGTCACACTGCTGCTGCTTCCACCCGCGGTGTCAACGCAGAGTCCACAGGTGCAGAAGACGAGGAGAGAAGAAATCCAGATGTGCAGGTTAATAACATATAGGTCATATTATTAACCTGCGCATCTGGATTCCTTCTTCACCCCTCTGTCTGTCTCGTGACCCTCATGTGTAAGTTGATTTAAGTCTTTGTTAAAGTTAAAATGAAACTTTCAAACATTTCTTTTCTCTCGGGCTGTTGGTAGTTTAGTAGAGTGTAAAGTAAATACTTTAGTGAGAATATTGTATTTAATGTATGAGCTGTATAAGTGTTTGGTTATTTTATTTATGTACTTTCTATCTCATTTAACATTTAAAGTTTTTCCGTATAAAGCTCATCGACTCTATGCCTCTGTATGTTCAAATGAAATGATTGGTTGATAGATCAATCTTTGTGAATTCCTCTCAGAGATGACAGCAGCCACCGTGTACTGGGATCCGCTCCAAAAGAACGTCCTGCTGAAGGAAGGCGTGCTGGAGAAGGAGGGGGATGCGTACGGGTACCTGAACAACACCTTGTCCAGCACAGGCTGGAGCGTCCTAGAGATCCGCGCCGGCTACGGAAAAACTCCAGAGACCGACGAGGTCACCTTCTTTCTGGCCGGATACCTCGAAGGCTTCCTCACCGCCCAGTGAGAACTGTGCTGTCGTGGTCATTTCACAACAACAATACAGCACAATATACATTTAACTAATATTCATATCCTCTCCCTCCCCAGGCAGATGATGGACCACTACACCAACATGTACCCGCAGCTGATTGACGACCCAAGGATCCTCGGCCTGGTTCAGAGTTTCATGGCGTTAGTCTGTTTCCCTTTTTCCTTTTAAAAACTGCAAAATGCAGATGTTTTAGTTCGGAGCTCCGTGTTTTTCAAGGTTTTACAGTAAAATGTGACGAATAAAGCAGAGAAGAGAAAGTGTCGATGTTGTGCTCGTAGGAAGCAGGATTCATGGGTCAGAGAGCAAGTGAAGTCCAACAAGAGCTCCGATCCTCTGTGGAGACACGCAGGCTTCATCGTGGCCCAGATGGACGGACTACAAGCCGGAGCAAGGGACTGGGCCAAGAAACAAGGGCTAAAGGTGTGGAGGCCCTGAAACTTAAAATTATTTTACAAGAAGATTCAGTTGATCATAGACTTATTTCCGTGGCTGTGTCTCTCGCTCTGAAGGCGTCAGCACTGTTCGTCTTCATGCTCAGACTAACAGCTGTTTATCTGGTGTCCCTCTCCCAGCCGCTGTCCCTGTTTGCCATCCAGTTCCTGAATTCAGTGGGAGACCTGCTGGATCTGATCCCGGCCTTGGTCCCCAGCCTCCGAAACAGAGACTTCAAACTGCCGGGGATGGGACACTGCTCTGCGCTCATCAAGGTCAGAGGTCAAAACATGTTGTGGTCAGGCTGAAAGGCCTGTTACACACCTCACATAACAAACACACACAACATGTGTGCAGCTGTACAAAATATTAAGAAGAGCAGTGTCATCCACTCCAGGATCCTGATGCCTCGTGTTCCCACAGATGCAGAACAGCAAATAGTTTTATTTTCTACAGAAATGAAGCAATCAAGAACAGTTTCAACCAATTTACAAGCTAAATAAAAAAAGATAAACAATAGTAGAATAAAAGAAGTAAAGAGATTAAAAGAGGTAAGAGACATAAAAATTATAAATCTGAAGAAAAAATGAAGTTGAAGGAGTAAATGAATACAAGTAAAATAAAATACCAAGAAGATGTGACACTAGATTTGTAAAGAATGTTAAACTTTCCAATCTGGATTTACTTTGTTTTTCCAATTCCTTGTGCAACATTCACATTGTTTGAATTACATGTAATTATGGAGCCGCACCAACACATTAACATCATTAATCCCCGAAGCGTCTTGAAAACCACATCACATGTTTGCTTCCCTGTTGAGCCACAGTTACAGTCTGTATCTGTTTCCAAGCTGCGACTGCAGCAACGTGACACTCGAATGAAATCCAGTATGGTTTTTTATTTAAGGTGCTTTTGTTTCATTTCATTCACGTGAGGAGGCTTTTTCACAGCCTGGATTTCTCCCCTCTTCACTAACGGAGTATTGTGCTGTGTCAGATATTTTCACTTTCCTCTAATCGAAGTCACACTCACACAAATTCCAAAAAATTCCCAAGACACAAGATCTCTATTCAAACCAGAATCTAACTTCCACTTTTCGTCCTGTCCACCTCAGATGCTTCCCGGCTTTGAGAACCTCCTGTTCGCCCACTCCAGCTGGTACACGTACGTTGCCACGATGCGGATCTACAAACACTGGGACTTCCACATCGCCGAGCCCAACACGGCCACTGGGAAACTGTCGTTCAGCAGCTACCCTGGTGTGTAGCTTCTTCAAAGACACTAAAGACAGGAGATATTTAACTTCATCTCTGGATAGTTGGAGAAGGTGGAGACGCGTCATCCATCTTTATATTCAGTCTTTGTCTTTTCCTCCCGCAGGTTTCCTGGTGTCTCTGGATGACTTCTATCTCCTGGGCAGTGGTCTGATGATGACCCAAACCACCAACAATGTCTTCAACTCCTCCCTGTTCGATCTGGTCTCCCCCCAGAGTCTGCTGGCATGGCAGAGGGTCCGGCTGGCTAACAGTCTGGCTCACACCGGAGAGGAGTGGGCCCAAACCTTCTCCAAGCACAACTCTGGTGAGTGGAGGCTCTGATACAAACTGTGAGATGAATGTCGTCACTGAACATATCAGTGAAACACTAATCAAACAAGTTAGATTTGAATTTTAGATCTTTGGATTTGGAAGATTGAATTGATTTCTACCAACACAGCAGCGATTTGATTAATTTCAGGCCAGAAGGAAAATCAACTTGCAGAGACTCAAAACTTAAAGAACGAGATCTCACCCGTCTCAAGGTTCAAGCTAGTTTTTTAAGTCTTATTTAAGGATAATTCATCATCATAAGCATCATGTCGAGTTTGTGACACGCTCAATATTAATAAAACCCAGTGGGGGGCAGAAGCAGAGTAAACTGAGAAACCATCATCACCCACCCTCAACTCTTCCAGGTACCTACAACAACCAGTACATGGTGTTGGACAGGAGCAAAGTGAAGCTGGGCCACAGCGTCGATGACGGTGCTCTGACGGTGGTGGAGCAGATCCCTGGTCTGGTGGAGTTCTCCGACCAGACACAGGCTCTGCGCAGAGGTAACGACCGCTGTTGTTTTCCCGCCTCCTAGGGTATTTGTTTCATTTGTTGAGTTTATCTTTTTATCGCCGCCCTCTTGCCTCAGGTCACTGGCCGTCCTACAACATACCTTTCCACCGGAAGATCTACCTGCTGAGCGGTTACGTTGAAATGTCGAAGAAGTACGGAGAGGACTTCTCCTACGATCTCTGTCCCAGGGCCAAGATCTTCCGCCGGGACCAGGGCGGCGTCAAGGACCTGGACTCCTTGAAGCACATCATGAGGTTCAACGGTGACTGTGAATTTAGAAAAATAACCATGGAACAGTTTGATAAAAGCATTGATTCAAAGCATCTTGAATTAGAGATCAAGCTCATCCTACATTTTGTGTCTGCTTGCTTGATTTCAGACTACAAGAAGGATCCATACTCCAAAGATGACCCCTGCAAGTCCATCTGCTGCCGAAACGACTTAAGGTCCGAGGAGCCTTCACCGGGAGGTTGCTACGACACAAAGGTACGATCCTGTCGCACAGTCACCATCCTGCTTTCAGAGGCCTCGGAGGTTGTGTGGCATCAGATGCTTTTTGGCTCAGATCAGATTTCTTGTCCTCCGTCCAGGTGACAGATTTCCAAATGGCTGGGGCCTTCTGTGCGGAGGCGGTGAACGGGCCGACCACACAGGACGGACTCCCGCCGTTCATTTGGGATAAATTTAGCAACATCAGCCACCAAGGTCTGCCGCAGTTCTACAACTTCACCTTCGTCAGGATGCAGCCTCTGCTCTTCGCACCGTGAGGAGTGTGTGTTTGTGTGTTTGTGTGTGTGTGTACACAATCTTCTTTCTTTTGTGATTATTTTATTTGTTTGCACAAGATTTTATTTTATCTGCTGCTGCTTAAACATCAGATCGACGTCCCACCAGCATGTTTTCATTGTAATAAATACATTTATTGTCCCTCCACCTGATAAAATGCTGAACTTTGCCTTCGATCTGTTAAAGTGCCATTTTAAATCAGTGGGTTTACACACTTTTCTCAGGTTGTGATGAATGATTGGAAATACAGTATAAATCAGGGTTGTTTTCATTCCTGCAGCCATTTGTGCCTTGACCACTGAGTCACTTTATGATGTTATGAAATCCATCAATGCATTTGAGCTGTCTTGTCTTTTTGCTCCTTTAATTCTTTTGAAATGCTCAAAATCTTCCACTTAACAATATCGAGGTGATGAAGACAATCAGTGCAATGTCAAACTCAGGAAATAATCTTTTCTGGTGATGTGATTTACGAGCATCTCATTTTGTACTTTGTCCAGAATGAAAATATTTCAGTTTTGTATTTTTGTATAATCCTACGTGTAATGCTGCACATTTTGTTCATGCTATGATTTCATGTGTAAAACTGTTTATTAAAGTTTTACTGTTGCAACTGAACTGTCCCGTCTTTAATCTTTTAATCTCTGATTGAATCACTCGACCAATTCCCCCTCTCGTTGTTGATCATGTGACGCAATGTATTTTAAATATGTAGTAGAAAATACAGATTATTGCTGATATTTGTAGTGGTTAAAGTAAAAAGTGAAAATAAATCCACTGATACATGAAATGTGCAGTAACGAGGTAAATGAGCTGAAAGTCGGGATCTTGTTGTTCTTAAAACGGACACAGTGAGTTCTCTGTGCCCCCAGAGACAGATGATGATTCACTCCCTGCTCTGAAATAGAGGAACTGAAACATCTGTCAGCGCTTCGTTTTTTAAATCCTCTGTGTGTCAATGTTTTTTCTTGTCTGAGTCACACGCTCAGAGGGAAGTAACGCTGCAGCAGCGCCTCCTCACCTGGCTCACCCTGTTTCAGCCATGGTCAAGAAGATCTGCTTCCCTGGACAGAAGTGGGACAACCTCATCTACAAATGCCTCTCCAACAAGACGGAAACCGGGGCAGAGACTGAACCATCAACAAGTGAGACACACCTCTCTGACTGTTCCTCTCAGATGTATTTACCTTTCCCCTGAACAGAGCAGCTGAACCAAAGTCTGGTTTAGTCTGAGCAAGTCTTTGTATTTCTTAGTACCTTTATGGTTTGACTTGAAGCTCCTTCAGTCCACGTGTTGAGATGCACATGTTCCTCCTAACTGTCACAGCTGTGTGGTTTTCTTCTCCTGTTCGGTGCAAACAATTTGTTTGTCTGAGAACAGTTCTTGTGTTTCCCCTCAGTGCCGCCTATGCAGTCTGTTGTGAACCAGGTGAGAGACCCAGCCCTGGCTCCCCCGACCGACTCAGTGACGGTGCTGAGTCCGGCGCTCTGGATCTCCGTGATGCTGGTCGCAGTGGGATCCATCTTGGTTCTGGTTCTGTGGTTCATCATATACAAACGACAAACCAGACCCAGCAGCACTCCAGGTAAACACAACTGGCCCTCATTAGTCATATACAATTAATATATAAAAATTCCAGTCCTTGCCAAAATGTAAGGGAAGAGTTAGGGAAATCGGTCGAGTAGCTTTTGTGTAATCCTTCTAAATAACAAACCAAAATGCAGATGAAAACATAATTTCCCTGGCGGAGGTAATGATGGATCTTTAAACACCTAAACTGCTGGAACTCTACTGATATAATGTGACAGGTAGAGGAGGGCATCAATTCAATTCTCCATTTCCTCAGTGAAATGCTTTATAGTCAGACAGCTTCGTTCATCAGTGGTGACTGTTCTGCAGGAAGTGGGGTTACGGGTAGGCAGGTGATGAAGTGTGACGTTCATCGCTGCAGAAACCCCACTGTTTCTGTTTCGTGCTCTCACTCATCCCCGGGGTCTGCCCCTCTGCTCTCTCATCAGCTCTTCTGGTGTGAACGCAAATCCGTTGGTTACGCAGGAAGAACAACGTCCCCACGTGACCCAGAAAACACATAAACTGACAAAAAGACATGCAGGGTTGATTGCACTCAGTCCTATAACATCTTTATGTTAGTGAGGCCTGGTGAACAGAGAGAAATCATCTCGTATGAAAGCAGCTGTGTTTGAACATGCTGATTAAAACTACTGAATCTAAACTGACCCTGACAGTCGACTCGCAGCAGCTCATTGTGCTGATGAAAGTCAAGATGAGGCTGAGAACTTTGAGCTTTTGTTCTTCATGTGATAGAATGTACAGATGGACACCACCGTACTTTATAAATCTCCTGGAAAGCAGTTTGTGTGCAGTCTTAACCCAATGATATAAAAAACAATGAGAGGAAGCTTCACTCACTTTATCGGCAGCATGCAGAGCGAGCTGTCTGTAAATGGACCTCTATCCACCCGACAAGCAGGAATGTGAAATGTAGTTTAGCAGAGTGAGGGAATTCCTCTTCGTCGGCTCAGCTGTTGTGCAACACAGCTGAAACACATTAGTTTTCATGATGTGCACAGATTCTGTCGCACAATATGTTGCATTCAGTACAAATATTCAGGGACACTCGTGTTTCTATGGTTTGTGTTACAGATGCAGAATCAGGACGGGAACCTCCTCAGAAAACCGAACCACCACCGGCCTCAGGTCACCTGCTGCCTCCAGAGAAACCTGGTCGGACAGAGATGTTTCAGAGAGCAGAGGAGGACCTGTCACCCTGTGCTCACCTGCACCTGGGAACCCAAACCGACTCACAGTGGCAGGAGGGCTTCATTACATGCAGGGGCTCTGCAAAGCATGCTGGGAAAGAGGAGGACAGAGGGCTGATGACGAGGGGGCACAGGATCCCACTTCCTGCCACGGAGCTGGGTGGAACTGCACTGGTTACAACTAAAACTGTGTAGTGTGTGTGTTTTACAATGTTTTCCTCACTGCATGCACTATGCACATTGAACTGTGATGTGAGCCAATATCTTTTTTTTTTTCTTTCCTCTTGTCCTCACATGTTTTATGGTTAAAAAAAAATAATAATAATTTCATGTATTTTACTGCAAAGACAAAAACAAAGAAACTGCTGTGAAACCGGCGCCACGTCTTAAACATCATTTAATAAAACACAGAACAAAAATCATGACAGAAACATTTGTGGTGTTCTGAAAAACAAAGGTAGCATTGTTGTGGTGTAGAGGAGAAATATTCTTGACACATACTGAGTGGACACAGCGCCACTGTCTCTGCAGCAGAAAATGCAATTTACACAGTAAATAATTTTGTCAAACTTCCTCAATCTGTGAGCGTGCAGCAGAAAACATGGAAACATTAACAGAGAACTTTTTTAAGTAAAGTCAGCAAAAGAGTCCGTTTGACATATTTACTCAACATTAGGATTCCTAGTTTGGAAAGAAGTGACACACAGCAGACCCTGATACAAATGTAGTTTTTTGAAATTGGAAGAATAGAGAGTAAAGTGACGAGTCTCGTTAGGGAATGAATGACTGTTCTGCATAGTTGAGAAAAATATATATGTGTGTGAAAACAAACGAGTCTGAAGATGGATTTGAGCTTTAAATGAAAAACAAGACGATGTCATGAAGTGGTTCATTTTTGGCGACAGAAGGATGGAGTGAAGGATGTGGGGTTTGTGAGAAACATGAAAAGAGACACGAACCCTTTGGCAACGAAGTTTATCACAACATGAGCACGGGGAGTCTCACGTCCAACAGTCCTGCTTGTTCCACAGCTGCTCTCCAGTGACTCCGACCCCTGGGTGAGCAGAGCCGGCCTGTGAAACCCAGCAGCGCTGATTCAGACGGGTGCAGGTGAGGACACACTTTTGCAAAGTCCACTTCACGTGCAGATAAAAAGTTCCAGTGGAATCACAGGAAGGTGCTGGGGTTGTCAGCTACAGCCAGGTGGAAGTACTCCGGCAGGCCGTCGCTCTGCATGCTGCCGCCCGTCTCCCTGCGACGGACCTTGGTGGACAGTGTCTTCCTCTTGTCGAAGCCCTCCCTCCCACCGCCGCGCTTCTCCAGGCCGGAGACAATCATCTCCGCCAGGTCCTGCTGGAGCCGCTGGAAGTTCTCCCTGAGACAGAAGCATCAGTAGTACTTCAGATCATGGATGTATTTTATAAATGTACTTCCATGTGCCAAAGACCTGGCAACTTGTGAGTAAGTTCAAAAACTAGACAATGATCACGTAGCAGATGTGTCAGTGAATGTACTCACGCTGTCGGAGGTGTCGGCAGGTTGTATTTCCCCCCAGTCACCCCAGTTAACCAGTAAGTCATCTCTTTACCTTTACCCTGTGAGTCATTTACACACACACACACAGGAAATTAAACCTGTAACCACTATCTGCACAGTTTACTCTACACATGGATGGATAGAGGAGTTCATAAAGAGACAAACCTTCAGGTACGTCTCTCCTCTCTTTTCGTATTCAAACTCGCACTCTGTCCTCTTCAGGATGCTGATGGTGGAGTGGCTCACGTGAATTCTCAGAGCTGGAGAAAAATAAGACGGAATCATTTCAGTCAAACTCTCCTCTTTCTTTCATTCTGCAGGATATGATCAGAAGCTGCGTCTAAATCACAAATACAGTGTGTGAGAGTGTGTAAGTTTGTGTTAGAGTGTGTTAGAGTGTATGAGAGTGTGTGAGAGTCTGTATGTGTGTGTTAGAGTGTGTTAGAGTGTATGAGAGTGTGTAAGAGTGTGTAAATGTGTGTTAGAGCGTGTATGAGAGTGTGTGAGAGTGTGTAAGTGTGTGTATGAGAGTGTGTGAGTGTGTGTGTGTGAGAGAGTGTGTAAGAGTGTGTAAGTGTGTGTTAGAGTGTGTAAGTGTGTGTTAGAGTGTGTATGAGAGTGTGTGAGAGTGTGTATGTGTGTGTTAGAGTGTATGAGAGTGTGTGAGAGTGTGTAAGTGTGTGTTAGAGTGTGTATGAGAGTGTGTGAGAGTGTGTATGTGTGTGTTAGAGTGTATGAGAGTGTGTGAGAGTGTGTATGTGTGTGTTAGAGTGTATGAGAGTGTGTGATAGTGTGTGTGAGAGTGTGTGAGTGTGTGTGAGAGTGTGTGTGCTGTCTCTTACGCAGGCCTGTGGACTCCATGCGTGAGGTCGTGTTGACTGTATCTCCAAAAAGACAGTAGCGTGGCATCTTGTTTCCCACCACTCCTGCTGCACATGGACCTACACACAAATACACACAACCTTCATTCAAGTCGTCGTCCTGTCAACTGATAAATGTTCTTATCTCTGTTTTATAAAAACACATCCTTTATAGAATCTGATTTACTATTGTCCAATCATTATCATTATTATTATAGAAAAATAAATCATTTCAAGTGAAGGTTACAGGTTAAATTAAACAAGGTAAATTGCTGTCACCTGAATGAACACCAATACGGATCCACAGGGGGATACCAGGCAGGTGCTGCAGCTCAAAAGTCCCCACAAAAGCCAGGATGTCCAGGGCCATGTGAGCGATGTCCACTGCGTGTCTGTCCCCGTTGCGTCTGGGCAAACCTGAAGCAACCATGTACGCGTCTC